GTACCACATCAGCAACAGAATCCGCAACAACGTTGGGATCATCCGGCGAGAAGCAAACCCGCCCCCAAGGGTAGGATGCAAAGAAAGACCGCATCCCATCCCAATCGGCTGATCTATAGTGCCAAACACGGCGGCAGCCTGCAGAATGCAACCGCGATTTCAGCGTGAGTGGCACAACACTCCGGACCAGACAATGGTCCGAGGAGCCTAAAGAGGCGTCGACGGAAATCTGATATCCATCCGGGTGAGAGGTCAGCAGAAGGTCCAACAGGGAAGGTGCATGATTCTCCACATCTGGAATCCGCGTAGGCGAAGTAACCAGTTATGTCAGACCATATGCCAAGGCAAAATCATGAACAGATCTCCCCGCATGATCGGTTAAACGTGAACCAAGCCATTCGGCGTGATGGGCGTTAAAGTCGTCGAGGATCACGATCTCTGCGGAGGGGATCTGCTGTAGCAACGAATCTGTAGCCATTTAGACGTGGTCGAAGAGTCGGTCTGTTTCGGCATTACCGCTATGGGACCTATAGAGGCACCCGTAGACGCGCGGATGGTCGTCGCTGTCTACGCGTAGCCACAGGATGGATAGGTCCGAACCTTCAAGTCTGCCGAGGCGTCGAGAACAGATGTCCTCTCTGACGTAAACGCAAACTCCAGCCCGAGGCACAAAGGAGTGTTCCAGTTTGTACCCCGGGTAGGAGAGATACGAGACATCAGCCGGAGAGGACACCTGCGTCTCGGTCAGAAAGAGCAGAGCTGGCCTCGCCGTCTCGAGATGGTAGTGGACAGCGTGGCAGGGGTCGCCTTGGTCTTGTTGCTCCGTTTGCCCCGAGCAGTTGTAGTCCTGAGCGGAATTTTGCCCCCACCCCCCCAGAATACGCGGGACAGCCTGAGCACCCACGCTCAGAAGTGGAGAAACATGGTCGTGGATGCTCAGCGAGGGATTCTCCAGGGGTGCTGGTACCCTCCTGGGGTAGTCTATCATTATTTAATTCTGCTACCATGTTGATGGGGGGGGGGGGGATTTGGGCCTCCGGCCACCTGCACTCACCAGACGAAAGGCGGAAGCAGAGCTTCCACTTCACACCGGTATTCTGTGAGGTCGTGGTACCACCCCGGTTTGAGCCGGCCCATACGTGCAACAGCAAAGCTGCCGCGTGGCTCTACCACTGTGAAAGCGTGCCTTTTGTGAGAGAGAAAAGGCAAACCAAGCCCCGTTAATTCCACTCAATCAAGTGCGAACTCGCGTCGCCGCCATGACAGGTTAGTAAAATAGGGATGCCACCAGCTTCATGCAAAATGCCTTTAGTATGGGTAATAATAAAAAATTACTAACATTACGAATTAAAATAAAAAAAGTACGTATCTCAGTTAATTTAATTTATTTTTTATGATAATGTCTGTATTTGTATTTTATAAATATTTAATTTTATAAAATGATACAAATTTGGTGTCTATTTCAGGCATGTCGGAGAAAACCGTGAGTAGAATATCTAAAGAAGGTGAAGCTGCTGCCTCTACATCTCAAAAACTCAATTCTCCGGGAAAACACCGTCAAAGACGTAAAACGGTGGATCTTGATGATTTCGATTTATGCGCAATAAGAAACAAAATCCATGAAATTTATACTGTAAGAAAAGTTGTTCCTACTTTAAATAAATTACTTGTAGAATTAAAGAATGACATAAACTTTGGTGAAGGTCGAACGACTTTGTGGAAAATTTTAAAACAAATTGGATTTCTGTATAAAAAGTGTGGTTCTAAACGGAAAATTTTAATGGAAAGGCACGACATAGTTGCATGGAGACGCAAGTATATCGTTACTCTGAGGCAAAATCGAGCAGATGTTCGGCCAATAGTTTTCTTAGATGAAACATACATTCACGCATCGTATGCAGTGAAAAAATGTTGGCAAAAAGATGACGAGGACGGAGTACTAATAAGTGATTCTGTTGGAACGCGGTGGATAATTATTAATGCAGGTGGAGAAATAGGATTTATTCCTAATGCTAAATTGATTTTTAAATCACAGAGTAAATCAGGGGACTACCATGACGACATGAATAGAACCGATTTTATAAAATGGCTTTCAGAGAAACTTATACCCAATTTGCCTCCGAACTCCTTAGTCGTAATGGATAACGCTCCCTATCATACCGTACAAGTAAATAAAACACCTACTATGAGTTCCTCAAAACTTCAAATGCAAAATTGGATAACAAATAAGGGATTGTCTTATATACCAACAATGCTGAAAACAGAACTTTATGAAATTATAAAAGAGCACAAAGAAGCGCCGATTTATCAGGCTGACCAATTATTGCTTTCTCATGGCCATAAAGTGGTTAGGTTGCCCCCCTTACCACTGCGATTTAAATGCGATTGAGTTTATGTGTAGTCTTTTAAAGAGACGAGTAGCCAGCAATAATGTCGGCCAAGAAGCTGGGAATGTCGTGAAGTTAACTGAAGAAGCTTTTTCATCTATAACCCCTCAGGATTTGCAAAAGCAGTGTGAACACGTAAAAAATTTAGAAGACAAGTTTTATGTACTTGATGGCTGTATGGATGATATTACTGATAAATACATAATTGAATTAGGAAATCACAGCAGCACAGATTCGGATATGACAGATGATGATGACGACGTTTATGAAAGTGACAGTGATACGAGTATGTCTGGAATTGTTCCTTTCGACCATAATTATTGTCGGAAAAAAATAAATCAATAAATAATTTAAAAATTAAATTGTGTTATCATTCACAACCTTACTAGTCTTATAACTAACTGTATATTATTTAAATAAGCAAGTAAAACATATTAATCAGAGGTTTTCAAGTTTAGATACGGTGAAACCTTACATCTTTGCCCACATATTTCGGTTTTTATTACTTTTTTCAAAAAATATCCACTTTATTTTGATGGTTGCTGAAGCTTTAAACGACACTCTATGCAACAAATAACCTGTCAAATCCAGGTGACCTAATTCCTAACAGATGCTGAGAAAAAAACAAAAACAGACGCGGGCAAAGTTATCTCCACTTTCTTACATCTTTGCTCAACCTAAATTTCTCACCAACTATAAGCTCTATGATTTTGATTTTAAGATATATTGTTAGCAAACCGGCAAAATTGTATACTATTACATTTTCAAATAAATAGAAGTCCATTTTAGGTTTTAATGGAGGTGGGCAATGTTATCACCACATTTAGTCACGCTTTCATACTAAGAGATTTGAGGTGCTAGGGCTGTACATCAGATGAAAGGAAAATAATAAACTGATATTTAGGCAATAATGTATTTTTTTTTAAATTAAAAACAACAACTAACTGAACAACAACAAAAATCAAGAAAATCAATGTTTAGGTAGGTAACGTACCTATTAAATATTAATAAAAAGAAACAAATAGGTGTCCGCTAACGCAAGCGTGCCTATTAGTTACCTTCGTGAGTATTAGTTTTTAAGAAAAGATAGGTAAGCAGCGCAGAAATTTTTTATCACACGCACGCAAGGGAGATTACCGTTCCTCATACAAAAAAAAAATAACAAAATATTTCTTCTAGAACAAAAAATTTACAATAGCAGCCTAAAACATTATCCTTATAGTGCTAAATTTCAAGAAATATCTTCTGAAATTGAAAAATTAAACAAAAATTACTAACAGTCTTTGATGTTACCCTTACGATTCTAGCTAATAATTATAGGTATAAGTATATATACTTATACCTATAATTACTAGCTACACATTACACTTCTCATCAGAAAAATCGATACACCTCACGAGTTTGTTTTTAAAGATTATCAAAAAATAGTTTTAACGTATAATATCATTTTATTATAATAAAATTAATGTTCACATTCTGCTTATTTAAAAAATACAAAGATTTATTATTTATTCCTAAATATACACATTTTTCAGATAATCATTACAAGGCATAAACTCGTGGGGTGTTTCGATTTTTATGATGAGAAGTTTAAAAAATTAAACACGATGGAACTTAGTTCCAGCACTAGAACTATGGCACAAGAATCACAGATTAATATAATACACATTTGCACATAATTAGAAATAAATCTTATTCGAAATCAACATTGTTGTACCTATTGTAAATAAATTTTAGGTGTACGTAATAAAAATATTTAAAAATAAGGTTTGTACCTTTTACTTTACCTACCTACATTATATTGTGATAAGATAAGTGAGATCTAATAATCGAAATATAAGTAGTCATCATCATCATCTAGAACAAACTCTGTTTCATTGGTATTAATTGTAAGTAAATTCACGGTTTTGACAATATTCTTACAATCAATTATTTCTACTTCTTGTTTTTTGGTTTTTATAAACTTGGTATTGTCGTTTCTACATATATAAAAATGATGCATTTACTCTATCATTTCCTACTTTTGCTATGACTTTACCGACAAAATAATCAACCTTTTTCTTAAAAAAGTATCTGACTAATATAATATCCCCAACAGCATAATTGATATTAGAACAAGCTTCACTTAAATGGTCGTCGTAGCTCGATGAAGGTTTTTCTGTTTCCGTTGCTATTGTTGTTTTATTATCTTTCATTGACTCTGTTTTAGGCTGTTTTGTATTTAAACTTTGAATGTCTTTGTCGGACTTATCAGATTCTATATCACAGATATCTGAATCACTGTGAGTACTAATGTTGATATCACTATTACTTGTTTCACTTATATTTCTCTTGTATGTTCTGCGGGCTGGTTTTGTCTTTGGTTCAATGGTTGATTTGTTGCTTTTTCTTTTTTTCTTTGGTTGATTAGTTATTTTCTTTCCGGACTTTCGATTGGTGTTTTGTTTTGTATCTGCACATTTATTTATTTCTTTATTTAAATCAGTATGTTTAAAAGTTTTGTTTTCTTTGCCATTATTTTTGCCAGTCTCCAAAATAACTTTAGTTTCATTCGTAGAAGTATTTATTTCGGTTAAAATATTTTGTTTTGAGTCTTGTAGCTTTTCGTGATGTTTAGTATTTTTGTACTTTTTTTATATTTAAATTGTTTGCATTTAATTCTTCTCTCTTCTCATTTAAGTCTATAATTTGTTGTGTGCTACCATAATCAGATGTGCTGCGACGTGGTAAAATATTTACAATGTTAGGGCAAATGTTGTCAGATGCAATCTTGGTGTCATTTTTAAATGTTCTTGTTTTTTTAGGTCCTGTCACAGTTTCAGTGTACATGCCTTTAGATGAGGTTAACTTTATTTTATCTCGCAATACTGGTTTGTTGTTTATAACTTGCTTCACTCGGGTGGCTATTGTATATTGAAGAACTCCAGTTTTCTCATTTAGAATGCATCTTGATACATTCTCTTGCTCTTGGTATTCAGACTCAACAGTAAATTTATGGGTGTTATTGAATATGTCGTCACTGTCATTGATGGCTATTATCTTACCATTTTTATCCAAAGTGCAACTTGTTCCGACTTTGTTTTCATTGTGTACTGGCTCATCATTAATTTCATTAATTTCGTCAAAGTTATTAGTGTCTATTATCACAGTTTTTTCATCTAAGATGCACTTTGTTACAGTTTCACCCTTTTTGCTGTCCGATACCTCAAGTTTATCAATTTTATAAAAGTCACATGTCAGATTTAACAGTATATTGCTATCATTCAAAATATCTTCTTCCAAATAATTATAGATATCAGCGGTTTCATCTTTATCGTTTATTGGCTGTCCAATAGCTGTATTGTCTAAAAAAGAGGTCAAATACGGGATTATTATTATTATTTTCTGGATTATCTTGATTTGTAATAGAAGTCTTTTTTTTGTTGTTTTTGATTTTTTCGCTCCAACTCCATTGTTTTTTTTAGAGGTCTGAGTCTCTGTAACTTCTTGATTTGAACAACTCAACAAACCGAAATCGCTTATTGAAACAGACTTGCCAGGCTCTACTGAAACTTTTTTATTGCGTTTTACACTCACTGCTTTCGGTTGTCTACACTTTTGCAAGTAATTTAATAAGGCGTTATCAACTGTGTAATTTCCAAGTTCTTCAGCATATTCCGGCAGCCGTTTGAGCACTTCACGTGGATTTAAAGGACAAATTCCGGTAGCTTTGAATCCACTTTTGATATTGTTGGTTCTGGTAAAGTCTATTGCGTTAATCAAAGACGTCAACAACTTCGGGAAATGATTTTTATTTAAAGATGTTTGATTGGGATTTTCCATTTTGTACTGCAGCAAAATTTTCCGCCACGCTTTCTTAAGCGGAGCAAAGAAAGCCACGTCTAAGGGTTGGGTAAGATGCGTGGAGTTGGCAGGAATGAAAACAAAAGATATGTTATGCTCTTCGCAAAGTTTGATAATGTCCACATTTAGATGACTTGATAGGTTATCACGTATGACCACCTTTTTTCCCGGCAAACCTTCCGACCATTTTAAAACTATTGTCTTGAAGTAGTCCTCAAAAGTGGACGAATCGAACCACCCCGATTTAGTGCGGTTATATCTTGCGCCTCGTGGACCGCCTGTTATCCATTCAGAATAAATATTTTCTGATTTATACACAACATATGGTGGTAGGTTCGTTCCGTCTGCGCTTGCCGAAAACATCAATGAAATGGCTCCTTTCGTTGAATTTAATACCCTTTCAGGGTACTTTACCCCTCTACGAAAAATGCATTTCGATGATCCGGGATCATCACTTAAATTTGTTTCATCCAAGTTTAATATGTTTGACGGGGGAACGTCTTTCATAGTTTCTTCTAAATTTTTGAAATAATCTAAAAATTCTTCAACACATTTTTCGGCTCTTGCTTTTTTTATATTTTGGCAAGATCTTACTGTTAGTTCTGAAGCATTTCGTTCTAAAAAACTCGAAATCCATTGTTTTCCTGGTAGATTTCCATGAAATCTTGCCTCACGCCCATTTTTTTTCAAATATTCGTATACGATTATTCGTAAGTCAAGCTTTGATAATGGACAACCAAAATCACCAGTTGCAACTGCCACTTTTACTATATTCTTCTCTTCTTCCTCAGTAAGTCGCGTTGGAGCTCCTATTTTTTTTTGGTGCAGCTCTTGAACTTTGTTCAAAAGGGTCCGTCTCGGTATACCAAAATGTTTTTCAGCCTCTCTCGATGACATTTTTTTATTTTTAACGTACCCAACTGCGAGATCTAACATGTCGTCATTATAATTTTTGTAATACCTGGCACCGAGGCGTCTTCGGCTTTGCTTTTTAGGTTTCACCATCCTGCAAATAAATAGAATAGTACTAGGTAAGTACTTCTAGAAAATTATCTCAGAAATCAACCCTGATAAGAGAGGTAAGGAAAAGTAGACGCCGACGATACTTATTTAATATAATATGAGGCCAGCTTATACTGATTTTGTTACCACTGATGTGCGTGGCTCACCTATTGTGCGTACCAATCCATTTTTCCGGCCATTTTTGCCTGCGATCGTTAATGTCTGTCGTTGAGGAGAAAATTGTCTTTTAGACTTTTTTTTTGCAAACGAATTGCCGCATAAATCTTATTTAAAACTTTAGTTTGAAGCTGAGAATATTTAAGCTCTCTAAAGTAAACTACTGTTCTGATACCTATATAGTTATCAGAAAAGTAGTTTACTTTGCAGTTAACAGTAGTTAATGTTAATAGTTTTTTTATATACTAATATATATATATATATATATATATATATATATATATATATATATATATATATATATATATATATATATTATGTTTATATAAATATTAATATAGTATATTAAATAAAATTATATATAATAAATTGTAAATATATAGGTATACTTAATAAAATACATAAATGTATATAGGTATATAAAAAAAAACTATTAACAATAACTACTGTTAACTGCAAACTAAACTACTGTATAGGTAAATATATAGATAACAGTATAGGTAAATAGATACTGTTTTATATATATATATTAAATATAATGAATTACAAAAATAATAGACAAAAAAAAAAAACAAGGAAACATGTACCTAGGTCTAGGTACATGTTTCCTTGTTTTTTTTTGTCAATAGTGTCAACCCTAATAACATTTTTGAGCTGGGCAATGTTGTCGACCTAAGTCTATAAAATTGCTTACAACATTGCCCACACAATTTTCTCGCTAACTAAGACAAGTGTAAGAAAAAGACCATGATTAAAAGCAGCAACAATTAATGCCCTACACGTAAATAATAATGAATCTTACCTGCGCAGCGTTTCTTGTCAATGCGGGATGTAAAACTGCAACAATGTTTTTGCACCACCTTCGACACTGTCACTTTGACGGTTGATGACGGATGACTGAATAAACTTAGCTGCGATTGCAGTAGTCAGAGTTGCCAAACAGATATTCTAGTTTTTCCTAGACACCATACAAAGTTACCATTTGTTAAAATAAAATTTCTATCGGTAGTTTTAGTTAATTTTCGTGTTTGGGCAAAGATGTCCCCCAAGGGCAAAGTTGTAAGGTTTCACGGTAATTTTGCCAGCAACCACCAAGTGGGGTAAATGCTCCATGTATTGTTGGCAGCACCGTAGACAATGCTGCCATTTCCCAAGGCAGGGGACATCTCGGTGAACGGGCTATTAAGTGTTGGAATGATCTCCCACCACCTCTACGCACTATGACAAGTAAAAACAGTTTTAAAAAGAATTATAGACGTCACTTACTAAGCGAACAATTACTGTCATAATTGTATTATTCTTACCAAATCACAGGGCCGTTTTATAATTAAAATAAATAAACATTGCCAGTAGGAGGTAGTAGATTTATAAGCTCAAATAAGTTAGGCTCAGTAAAATAAATATTATTTAATACTTTGTTGTTATGTTACTATTAGTTGTATTGTTGCAATAATTATTAATAATATAAATTTTATGGAAAAATTTATGATAATTATTATATTATATTATATATTTCTTAATTATTAATTTGAACTGGCTAATACTCGAAATACTCGCAAAAAAAAACACTCGCTAATACTTAGGAAAACACGACATGTACTCTAATATGAACAGTTGTTAAATGTAATATAAGCAGGGATGCGCGCGTACTGTACTTACTTTTCATTTGTTGGGCGCTGGCAGAATAACAGTGTTGTAGGCAACTGCAACATTTATGCTGAGCTAGAGCCCATTCATTACTACACATGTAATTTTGGTTATTTCTGTGTATACTGCTCGCTGTAACTATATTGGTGGTAATGAATAAATGTTTATTATTATTATTTACGTATTCTTTTTTTCTTTCTCAAGATTTTGTAAAATCTTGGTTTTTAAGATATGTTCACGGGCCTAAGCCAAGTGCGCATCCATTTGGGAATCAAAATCCGAGATGTCTTCTTGCAAAAATTTTCGGACTATACGGCACATGTTGAGGATGGCTGCTTTTTGCATGGTAATATAACTATTTTCAGGAAGATCTAATCGTTGAAGGGAGAGAGACAAACATTTCGGGATCACACCAGTACTGGAGAGAACCAGCGGTACAATATATACTTTGTTCATTTTCCAGATTCTAGTTACTTCTTCTTTTAATTATTATTGGGGGGTATCTATATAGTTTTCTCATCTGGTTGGGTTCTATAAATATATAATTATAAATGAAAATGAAAAGATAAATATAAATAAACATCATAATATAAAATAAATACAAAAATACATACATAAATAAAAGCCCAACCAGATGGAGGCCCTCGGCAGGGGAGACCAAACGGCCGAGGGTTAGGGGGAAAGGGAAAGAAACCGGCGGACGATGCGGGCGGTATCGAGGAGCACCGCCTTCTGCATTTGAGCCTGGAGCGGTCCGCCACGTAGTCCCAGCCGCCTCAGATGACCCGAGAGGCTGACTGGGATTAGCCCGTTTGCAGAGACGACTACAGGAATAATTTCGGTCGGCAGACCACCCCACATGTCGGTCACCTCGTGAGCCAGGTCCAGATATTTTGTTTGATTATCTGTTTCGGCTTTCACGAGGTTCTCGTCACACGGAATGGTAATGTCGACCAAAAATATCCTTGACTGTGGCCGGTCCATCAGCACAATATCAGGCTTATTCGCAAGAATAGTCCTGTCTGTGATGATGGCCCGGTCCCAATAGAGCCTGGCGCGATCATTTTCGAGCACGGCTTCCGGCAAGTACTTGTAATACGGCAATTTCCGATCCACGAAACCGTACTTCAGAGCGAGCTCCTGGTGTAGAATTCTGGCTATTAGGTTGTGCCTGTGCAAGTACTCAGAGTTAGAAAGCGCCGAACAACCGGAGATGACATGCCTAAGTGACTCACCGGGATGGCGACAAGCTCGACAGATGTCGATGGTGCCATCCTTTAGGATGTATCTCCGATAGTTGTTGGTCTTAATAACCTGATCCTGTATTGCACAGACAAAACCCTCGGTTTCCCCGAAGAGGTCACCAAAGCGTAGCCAGTGGAGGGAGGTTACTGTGTCTACGAAAGGCCCATGTAGAGACTTGTAGAACCTCCCGTGGAGCTCCTTCTCCTTCCATACGGTCTCCCGGTCGGAAACTGTCTGCACTGCCGGGTCTTGCCATTGCTCGTTGGCTAAGGATAGAGGGGTAAGTCCTTTATCACAAGAAATGACGTCCTTATAGAATGGATCTTCCGATCTCGCCAGGAAGTAATTACGGAGGCTGCACACTTCGCGAATATGCATGGTGAGCGCGCTCAAGAAGCCACGTCCACCATGCTTTCGCGGCAAGTACAGCCTCATTACCGACGATCTCGGATGATGCATCCTGTGGGACGTCATGGTAGTGCGGACTTTTCTATTCAGGGCGTTAAGTTCAGTCTGAGTCCATCTAAGTATGCCAAAGGTGTACATGAGGACAGGCATGACCCAGCCGTTATATGCTTGTGTCTTATTCACACCGGACAAAAGGCTGTTAAGCACTTTGGTCAAGCGTGCATAAAACACGTCGCAAACTGACTGTTTCATATCAGCCTCATCGATACCGATGTTCTGTGACATACCCAGGTATCGGTATGTTTCAGCCTCGGAAAGGGTCCTTAAGTTGACGGGCATAGATAAGTCTATGCCCTCAGAGTTAGCAACCCTACCCCTCTCAACATGGAGTACCGCACACTTATCCGTCCCCAGCTCCATTCCAATGGAATTGCTAAATTCACAAGTGATGTTTAGCAATTCCATAAGATGGGAGCGACTGGAGGCGAATAACTTGAGGTCATCCATATAGAAAAGGTGGGTCACTTTTGTCCCTCCTTTCCGTAGCTGAAATCCCCTCCCGGAGCCCTCCAGTAAGGTACTGAGAGGGTTCAGAGAGAGGCAGAACCATATTGGACTCAGACAATCGCCCTGGAAGATACCCCTTCCTATCCTTATGTGGTTCTCCGCAGCCACCATCCGCTCGCCCAGATGACAAAGGATCGTACTCCACTGCCCCATACACTGCTCGAGGAAGTCTCTAACTGTACAGTCTATCTTGTACAGTTCGAGGACTCTCTTTAGCTATGTATGGGGCACCGAGTCGAATGCCTTTCTGTAGTCTATCCAGGCGGCGGAGCAGTTCCGACGGTTGCATTTCACCACTTTGCCAATGACCGCGTCAATGAGGAGTGGTTCCTTGGTTCCACGACCACCGCCCCCACATCCATTTTGAGCGCGCGACATCACCTGATTTGAGTCCAGGTGACGAGTGATTCTCGCGCTCAAAATGGATGTTAGTGTCTTGTATATGGTCACACGTAGACACGTGATGGGGCGGTATTTGCTCGGGTCTGTGGTACCCTGGCCTTTAGGAACCAAATGGGTGATCCCAGTAGTGAAGAGGCTCGGGAGCGACTTCTGGTTGAGAACCTCTTGAAACTGTCGGGCGAGCACAGTGTGACACACCACGAACCCCTTCAGCCAGTAGTGATGCAGCCCGTCGAGTCCCGGATTTTCCAGTTCAGGGCCCTACGGACCGCCTCAGCTACGTCATCCGGCGTTATGGTGACGGGATCCATGGGCGTAATACCCGCACACTGACTCGCCACAACTTCCGTCTAAGGGCCCTCGTTGTGGTTTACGGGCTCTGACCACAGGCCGCGTCAGAATGCAACCGTGTCGGCCTGATTCGGTACTGGGTCCGTTCCAGTTACCATTAGTCGCTCCAATGATTTATAGAGCCTCTTCTGATCACTCTGGAAGAGACGATTCTGGTTGAACCGTGTCGACCTCTCGGTATATCGCCGAATTCGCTTTCCCCAAGCAGCGATTCTCTGCTTCAGGTCGTCTATGCGCTCCGTCAGTTTTTGCATTATATCCGGCTGGGACAAACTAACATTTGTCCCAGCAAACGCCATCCTGACGGTGCGCACAATCCTTGGCCTGGTATTGCCTGACCTGAAGCATATCAGTCTGCCGATGAGGGCCCTAGCCTTTGCGATACGTTCTTCAATTCTTGTTCTCCAGGCTGGGATAGCACTACTTTGTCCAGTAGTGCGTCCAGCCGTGGAAAGTTTGGCGCCTATAATACGGCAGACTGCCAGTGCGGCGCCAAAGAGAATTGAGTCCGTCTCGTCCCGGCTGGCTTCCAAATAGGTCACCAGCATTGGGTTCAGAGCCCTCACGACAGCCCGATTCCGCTTGCTTAGGGCTATGCGGGGAAGTCGCGGTCGATTTTCGAGAGGCGTACTGCGCGTTTCCATAATCGCCTCTTCCAATGTACTCCTCATTTGCTCTATTTCTAGTTCCTGGGTGAATGTTCCATCATCATTTGAATCAGCAACCACTGGGGTATTCACGGCGGCATCCACATGTGCGGGTTGTTCTGCAACTTGTGGCACCGCACCCTCAGTCGTAGCGTTTTCATTTGATGAGGGAACAGCCTCACGTCGTAGCCGTTCGAGTTCGGCGCCATCAAATATATTTGAGCGTAAGATATACCGAACTCGATCTGCCAGGTTTTGCTCGGTGACAGTAATAGATGGCTCCAGCTCAGTAAAAAGACGATGCATCCTAGCCCGATACGCGAAACCTCCAATTTCTCCCCCTTTCGCCCTAAAATACGCCCGCAATGCGTTTGTATTCATATTGATGGTCCATCGCATGCGGCGTACTCCACCAGTGGCGGGTGCCGATTGCTGGGTCTGCGAAGATCCTGCCGACACCAAGCAAGCTGGTGGGGATGATGGATGCGAGGGGGTGGTCGTGCAGCACCTCGCGCTCGGCTGGCGGTTCGCATGCTGTTGCGTCCAGCGCCAGCTCCAGACGCGCCCTGGCGACCTCCAGGCAGCGGCCCTTTGCGCAATCTTCTTTGTTCCATCATCCATACAGGGCGTCATTTAACGGGAGACGCCCAGACCCGGCGCCGTTTCATGGTGAGGCCATATGCACAAGCGGGCCCTTGCACCATCAATTTTTGACAAGGCACGGCGCTCACACCTCTTGGCAAGGTGCTGACTGACTGCGCGGACGTAGCGGTTTTGTCACATAACCGTCACGTCAGCGGGCGATGGGGTCGTCACTTCCCTACGCCTTATTAATTATTATTATTATTATTATTTTGAGTTATCAGGAAGATACTGTTGCCTATCTCCTGTTTCATTATCACACTTCTGTCGTCTTTTAGGATACTCACGGGATGGTATGGGGTCCTAGAGCTTCTAAGTAATAATATATATTATTTGATAGTGGATTCTTTTACGCCTCCGTTAAATGGCATTATCAAGATCCTGTCTTAACTTCATAGTTTTGAAATATTTTCATCCAATCAGATAAAGCTCTGTTGAATATAGTCGATGGTTTTATTTTTCGCTAAGCAAGTGGCAAATCTATATAAATAAAAATCAATTGATGCATTTGTGAAAGAACAGCCAGAGAACGGCTGGACAGATTTGCTGTTGTCAGGATCTAGAAACAGTCGTGCGGATCGGATCGTTAATATGCGTGTTGCAGAAAGATACAAAAAATACGTCACTATATTTATGGCTATAAATGTGAGGAAAAATTTACCCCTCAACTATAATTTTATATTTTATAGTCATAAAATTAGAGGTTAGTACGTAAAAAAAGCATGAATAGGGACACTGCTATTACCGATTATCATCGGTAGATATAGGCATGCGATGGGGGTTGGCGCAACATATTTATTTATCAATGGGTTTTGGGTATATTTTACACATTCAGGTTAAAAAAATTAACAATAGCGCGAGCGTGCTTTAAAGTAACTTCCGTTTTCAAAAAATATAATATCCATATTAGCGAAATACTGTCATAGTTATTGAGTTACTTAGTAAAATTGAATTCAATGAAAAAGTGCTTGTTTCCGTCATTTTTTTTTTTGATAAAATTGTTTATCCGAATGCGAATATACTATAATATTATCATCATCATACATAACTAAATTTTATAATCGAAAACTGAAAACATCTACAAAAAGAAAGTGTCACGAAAATATTTGGCAGTGCAACACTTGTAAATGTTTGTTTTTTGTAGTAATAAAAATGATCTTGTTCAATAAAAAAATAACTAAGTTTGTACATAATAAATAATAATGAGTATTACAAATCCAAAATTATTTTACGTAGGCGGCGGCATCGCCTGTCATCAAAAGAGTTTCACAACTCATGACACAGGTGCACCTCTTTGATATTGACTAATTTAATAGATTAGATTAATAGATAACAAGACTAAGTTTCAATAGCCCACATAATTATTACTAATTAGATAAATTACATCCGCAAGCTAAAATAATCTTTATCGATGCGTGCGAGTGTCCGTATAGCTTTGCATCTTTTCCCCTTCCTATGGCACAGAATAAATAACAGTTTCACGGAATATTCTCGGCGTCGACATATCGAGTGACATGCAGTTTCGTGGTCACTTGGAAGAGAAGGCCAAATTGGCCTCTAAAAAAGCTTGGCGTGCTCAGCAGAGCGGGACACTATTTCATGCCGGCACACCACCTACAACTTTACAAGGCGCAGGTTCGCCGCACATGGAATACTGTTCCCATCTCCTTCCACTTGACCGCATCCAGCGCAAAGCGGCTCGAATCGTCGACGACCGAGTGCTTTCCGATCGGCTCGATTCACTGGCGCTGCGAAGAGATGTTGCATCTCTTTGCATGTTCTTTCGCATATACCATGGGAAGTTCTCTGAGGAATTGTTCGGATTAATCCCAGTCGCCAAATTTCGTGAACGCACTACACGGCAATCGCCCCTATACCATTCACACCATCTGGACCCGCAATACCCCTGGTGTTGCGGTTGATCATGGGCGACGGTAGTCACTTAACATCAGATGAGCCGCATGCTCGTTTGCCCCCTCTTCTATAAAAAAGGAGTAATTTATTTTTTAATGTAACACATTAAATTTGCATAAATATAAGAAAACACTGCATGGACTTTTACAGGGTTTCATATCTGTAGGAAAGCGTATTGAGGCATCAATTAGTTCCTATGAAAATAAAACATCCTACTTCACGCTTTACATATTAGGTTATCTGAATTAAGTTTTGAAATGGAAGAAATACAAGCCAAGCACACTGAATTCAAACTATTGTTAGCAACAATAAGAGAAACCGTGTGGTCAGTAAACGAGAATCATCTTGCAAGACCCACTGGAAATAATTGTGTCCGATTTAGGATTTTGTAAGACTTTGTGCTCCGAAATCGGTAATTTAACAACTCAACGTATAAATGTTTATATGTGTCTGGCACATCGCAATAAAATAATGAGCTGAGCTATGGGACTACCTGTACCTGGACTATCTGTACATGCACACATGTCGAACATTCCAGGTAGGTTTACAGCTGGAGTCAATACTTCTAACAAATAATTGAACTCAAATAATATATTTTAAGATGAGAATTCAACATTTCGATAAGTCAACTAAATCTTAAGTTGTTATGGTTTACATAATGATTTCTTACATTTACTATTATGGTTTTAAAAAAGACTTGTATTTTTTTAAAAATAAAAGTTCTTATATGCTGTTACAATTTTATTAACTGAGTATTTTACACAACAGTACAGGACATAAATATCTTTGGTACTGCGCGATAGAGGTGGTAATGATTGCACATCTTTATTTTCCTCTAGCTACGTTATGTACAAAATATATTTATAAATACAAAAACCGACTTCATTACACTCACTAGATACAGGTAACATTAGTTTACATGAATGTGATAGTAATTATTATGATTACATTTTTTTCAGATGGCATTTTTACGTAATAAGTATGTTTGAAATTACTAAAATAATCCATTGACTGATGCTTAGAACTTACAGCTAAACATGAAAAAGCTCTTTTGTACGGCCACGATGCACGCAGTTCAAAATTTTCAATGTCTGTGTAGAAAAGCAAAAAAAAAAAAAGATACAACATACTAAGACAAGAAATCTTATAATGATATAAAAAAGAGATAGTTAGCGACATCTTCGCGTTAATTAATAAATTCTATACAGATCATATGTATGTGAACATATATCATTCTATATATTCACATACATAAATGAACAGAAACTTAGAGAAGACATCGGCAAGTAATCAACGCATTGTTGTCACCGACAAATTTTGATTTAGAAATTTCAGTGGAAATGTATGTAATATTTATTTAAATTTGCAATTAAAATTGATTGAATTGCTTATGATACGAGTACGAAACTTCATGCACATATTTACTTGTCATACTCATGAAACTTATTTAGGATAAATGTATAACTTATTATAATATAATATATGTTCACACAAATAACAAAACTATATTTTGAATATAACTGAATGCTTTAATTTTTTTATCAAAAAATGTTTCACTTAAACTTATTATTACTTATAAAAAGATCTGATTAATACAAAAAATAAAGACTTAATATCAGATTTCATTTTAATAGTATATATGTAAACCACCAATTTTAAAACTAACGACAGCAAAAACGAAATAATATCACAGAAAATGCAATTTCTTTAGATGGACTATAATCGAAGTATACAAACGTTTTTCAAAAACTCAAACTTTTAATTCCATGATCACGTATTGTTCGTAATCTAAGAAATTGTAGTTAGAAAAAAGCTGTGTATAATTAAGTCTTCATATTATTTACAGACTGCAAAACAAACTGAAGATGGGTCTCTCCCGTTGGGAGTACTTTCTCGCTGTAGGGGGGAATTTCCTTGATCGCCAGGCTTAGCAAGCGTACCAGACGCAAAGGGTGCTCTAGTTATTTTACGTTTGGAATAAGTCACCGTCTCTCTATAGAAAGCTACGAGATTTTCTTGGGATTTCCCGTAGCGGCCTCTTATAACACTTTCGGGAAGAAATAAGGTGATGGATGCAATTTACGCTGCCACTGTAAGGATTCTCTTTAAGTCCTAAATTAATTCATATATCCGTAATACAAATATTGTTAAAAACGGAGTTAAATACAATAAATGCAATGAATAGATGTAAATGATTGTACAATCTAGGTACATAATAAGTGATTGTAATTATACTTCAAGTTTTATACTTTAATAAATTGAAATACTTTCCTTTACACAATTTTTAGTATTTTTTAAAACGCCAGTCGGTCTATTGTTTTAATTGCTATTATAAAGATTACGCTAATATTAAAGAAATATGTAACACTTATTTCATTCAATTTACTTTTTAGTTTATGAGCCGCGTGCCGAGCACTTAATAAAGAGCAAAAAATTATATCAATATATAAAATTGTTTAATTATTTACAAAGCAGAAAAATAATCTTAGTACATTATTCCCTATGACAATACAATACTATCTTAATATAAATTTGTGTGCCCAATTACTAACTCTGTATATCAAAAAAAGCAAATATCTATGAAGGAGAATGGCAGGATTTTACCTAAGTGTATTAGTAAAAATATTCATTTGTTGCTTACGCGGAAATTAATCATTACAAAGGATGGATGTATATTATGAGCTTCTATTGAGTAGAATAAAGTATTTAGTTGTTCTTTCTTTATCTAATATCTATTAATGAAAATATTTAAGTCACCAGTGTTATAATTTAAAAACAACATATAATCTGTTTTTAGAATTAAAATTCATGAGCATATTTTACTATATAATATAATAATTTAATTTTTTAAAATCAATTGCTTATCTGGGCCTTGCCAGTATGTTAAGTTGTTAAATGGATTTTTTGTAATGCAATCAACTGTAGTTGCAAAAATAATGGCATCACACCTGACGTACATGTAGCAAGGTGACATTCTTATTTTTGCACTGCTGCTAACTTAGCGCTTCACAGTTTCAACTCTGATGCTGCAGTTTCTGAATTCCGAATTCGAACTCCGATAGGTATACGTACTTGCCGTACTTAATGTCAATAATAAATAATAAATAAAACGTATTCAATACTCATGTTAGATGGACTTGATATCTAATAAAAAAATTATATCGCATTTTGATTTATTTTTATACATCTGGTACTTGTACGTATACGACTAGCGGCCGCGGCACTGCGGCCTTAATACATTGCGCACTAAATTACGGTCGATTCTCCGTAACTCCTTTGCGAGGGGCCGAGAACACTAGTTTCTTTGTTTTTTGTTTTGTAAACCGCGAATGTTGTTTTCGAAAATTTAACACTGATTTTTATTGTAACAAAGAAATGCTGTTATTATTTATATTTGCACTCTGTCAACGTGATTTGAAGTTTATTTCAGATATGTATGTAACTTAATTTCGTATTTGCCTAAAAACAGTAACTGTCGTAAATGAAAATACAACTGTCATATTTAACACGATGCGCCCGTACCCGTCCGCGTCCCCGCGCCCGCCGGCCTCAACTGTGACACAGTTGTTGTTCTGAATTGTCGGTCTAGTACTATACATTAAAGTCTGGTGTACATAATATTTTTTCTAAACGTCACCATACCCCTCAGCATAAATAATAAACTGTAATGTACGTAAAATACTAATTTGAGATTTCACCTCTCGCGGTTATAAAATAATACAACTTAAAATTAAATCAACAATACTCATGCAGGTTTGTAACTGGCATTTACGTTTTTTTTTAATAATAGAGCTGGTTATATACAGAAGCGTTAAACCTTATTGCTTTAAAAACAGACCGAGATTTATACATGTATATTGAAAGAAAGATAGGTATGAAGAGATTAATAGCATATCGAGAATGAGACTTTCATTTGGTGTTTTTAGTAATTTTCTCCAAAGTTCGATTTTATCTTCTAATTTTAATAACCACTTAGGCGATACTTATTTATCTATATTGTGTAATAAAAACAGAGAAATGTGTATCGCGCCTAAATGGTTACGAAACGGCTAATTGAAAAAACATTTCTGAATACCTCGTTCATTTTCCTTTAACCGTGTGCACACATAAATACCATAGCCAGCCGCCATAGTACGAGCGATGTATTTTATTGTACAATACAAATACAATTTGATTGATTCGTAACTTGTATAACGCCATTAAAGTTGTTCAATAACGAATTTATTTTTATTTATCTCCATTCTACCAATGTTTATATCATCTATATACTAATCTTATTGACATAATTTAATCTAATATGATATTTCATGATAAACTTATATAAAAACCTATCACACTACAAAGCAAAAATAAATACCAAAGTGTGGCTCATATATATATCACAGGTTGCACCTAAAGCCATATAACAACTTGATTGGCAGATGTTCAAATTCTTATATGCCTCTACATAGTAAATAACACTAAGGGTAAAAGTTATAAGGCCTAAATAATAGTTAATACTATGGGCTGCGCATTATAATGGGCTGAATTTCACTTGTGTAACACATGTTTTTTTAGTTTCAATTTAGTAAAATAGCCTCGGTACCCTCATAATTTTGAAAGGCATATAGTATGTATATTGTATATTTCATTGATTTTTTTAATCGAAGAATTAAGTTTTTTTTATTGAATTATAAATTTTATTATTAATACGAGAAATCTAGTATAAAAGTTCAATTATTGCTATGAAATAAAATTTATAATCAAAATTTAATTGGTAAATCTAGCTAAAATATGTATTAGTTTTATGTTAAAAATAAAAGATTACTATTGAATATAATATTTTATGTATAATTATTTATAGAGAATTTGATTCACAAGTGAAATAAACCGCTTTTGTAAATTTAAAGTAACAGTCTATAATTGTATACACTTCAAGGCAAAAGCCGCTTTTGAGATGGCAATATTGTTGCGAAAATACCGCCATGCTGTTTAAGTGTAAGTTAATTAATTACTACATAGAAATACATGTTTTTGACTGATAAATCAGCAATTAAGATCGCAAATAGTAATTTCAGCGGTGCCAGCAACTGGTTGTTGACCGTCGAATTCAGACTGCAGGCATCCATTTAACTAGGAGTATAAGTTAGCGCCGCCTTGCGAGTTTAAACGACTTTTAAATATCAAACTTAATACATTTTAACAGATTTTAAACATTTTTTTTATATATTATTATAAGATCTTAAAATACTTATCCTTGACAGTAATATCTTCACACATAAATACTTTTATTCCCGTTTGCACTGTCACATTAGGCAGTTCCTTATTAATAAGTGCTTTATAAGGCAAGACTATATTAATTATTATACATGCTATATAAGTTAAGGTACTCATACTGCGGATGAAAGTCGGAAAGGCAAGATATGATTACTTATCTTTAATAATAATCTTGAATATTTTGACAATTATTTCGTGTCTAAGTTAACGTTAAAAACCGAATCAAGGTTTGATACATGGAGTGTAGAGGTAGTTAAGGTATTAAATACTGCTGTTGCATCAAATACGCTAGTCACCACAAATATTAAATCCTTCAACCCAGCACACTTCACTCCGTTGACAATTGCTAAGTTCATTTCATACCCTCTAGCTACTCGAGCGCTGTTGTGGAGACTTTTCGAACTGCTATTTACTGCTTACAGATGGATACTTTTTCAATTATTCTCCCATATGAGATGGTTTTCCTTACCTGTACACTCCATGGTTTGATATAATATATAAAGCCGCTTACATTTTTCAAATATGGATTACTTCAGTGTCAAAGATCACACTGTTTTAAAAACTTATGGGGCTATCATAATTTCAGACAAAATTCTATAAGGTTTGTCCTACAGAAAATGACATGGTTGCTTAATTAGTACAAAATAAAAGTTATGAAGTACCTACCTTTCTAATCAACATTAAACAATAATTAAGTTAAGGTTTAAGTGCAAACGGGCATTACTAAATAATGAGATCCGAAACGTGTATATAAACGTAATGATACCAAAATTATTTTGTGACAAATAACCGTATTCACTATAAAATACTTATAAGTATGTGCTATTTACCTAAATCAGATAATTAACGATTTAAAAACAACAAGCATCTTATTGTAGGATATAAAACCATTTATATTACAAAACACAATTTATAAGTCGAATGTTCAATAATTTGGTCACAGTGTATCGAAAAAACAGAGCGGACGGCTCATGCGTTATCGAATCGTTGAAAGTCGCCGGGCCAATTCTCTCGTCTTGCTACACGATCTGACCCCGTGCAAGCGAAGAAAGAGTCTCCCTCGAATGGATCCGATTCCCGCGTAAATATGTTGACCGATTCAGATTTTTTTATATCCCTGTGCGGTTGAATGGGAGGTTTTGAACGTAACGGTGGTACATCACCTTCATCCTCTTCAGCTATAGACGCTGTTCGTCCCCGTGGTGTTGAGGCCGTCGTGAAATCGTCTTCGAACATCGAGCGTGGCGACATCGAATCGGAGTCGAACCGGAATCGTGTCGCAGGAGAGTCGCCGTCCCGAGCACGTACGCTACTCGCCGATACCGGAGACGCCGTTGTATCCTCGGGGTCGAATGCGAATCTGAAATTATAATTTGTGTTTTGTTTATTTGACGTTTTAGTGCATTTGTGGTAATTTACTATTATCCTATTATCTATTATCTACATAAACTATCTAATTCCATAAAATTGCCTTATATTTTCTGTAATGATTTCTTATATTTACGCGAACACTGCACATTGAAATAATACTAGTTTTAACGGAATTTATCGCGTATATTTTAACTTTTTAAATACCCGACGTTTCGAACGCTTTACAGCACTCATGGTCACGGGTAGGACTGAGATGTTCAACGTCCATATGTCATAGTTAACCGCGGTTACCATAGATTAAAATTTAACTTTTGTTCCGATCTATGCAGTATGAATTTATGGTATCTTGAAGTCTTGCAGTTGTATGCTTGGGTTGGGATTTAATTTTATTTATTATAGGATCCCAAGCAGATGGTAGCACCCAGCCATCTTCTCTATTGAAATTAGGATGTTTTTTGATTTCAATAGCCTCGCGAATCATCCTTGGAAGGAATCGGTGTTCTTTAGCGAGGATCTGCGGTCTATCAAATCTGATGTAGTGACGGGGGCGATCCTGTACATGTTCACAGACTGCAGACTTCCCGGAGCGTCGATTCTTCACATCAGCTATATGTTCTTTAACGCGGGTTTTTATTGATCTTTTAGTTTGTCCTATGTAGGAGAGACCACATTCACAATCAAACTTGTACACTCCTGCATCTTGCAGAGGGACATTACATTTGACCGATGGTAAAAACTGACTAATCTTCTTCAGCGGCTTGAAGTATGTTTTGATGGAAGCGCGCTTCAAGATGTAGCCAATCTTGTCAGTGACTCCTCTAACATATGGCAGTACAGCAGGTACACGCTCGACTGTGGCCGGCTTCACTCGTTCACTGTGACGTAGGCGCGGGACTCGAAGCTTGTTGTCATGCAAAACTTGCTTGACATGGTGGAGCTCTGCAGCCAGGTGTTTACTGTCACAGATCCCTCGTGCTCTCTGAAACAAAAATTTACCCACGGTAGCTAACTGTGAAGGATGGTGGTGAGAATCACCGTTTAAATAGTCAAAAAAAAACGTCCCATAGTGAGCCAGATCGATTCACCAACTTACAGATTGGCTCAACACTTAGCGAAAATACTCTCACCACTCAGGGGACATACAAGAGCACACATAAAGGATTCCTACCATTTTGTCAGCGAGATTAAAGACCTACATCTGGCAGACAATGAAACTATGGTCAGTTTTGATGTGCAGTCATTGTTTACATGCTTACCTGTTGAAGACTGCATCTCAATTGTAACTAGAAGGCTGGAAGAAAACAACATGCCCGTAGAATATGCAGTATTACTCAGACACTGCCTTACATCTGGCTACCTATTGTGGAAGGAGGAGTTCTACAAGCAAGTAGATGGTGTGGCGATGGGCTCACCTGTATCTCCCATTGTCGCCGACATATTCATGGAAGACTTTGAGGAGAAAGCCCTGCTTAGTTCTCCCATAAATCCAAGGTTCTACAAGCGGTACGTAGACGACTCTTTCACAATTCTACCTTTAGATAATGTAAATGCATTTTTAGACCATCTTAACTCTATAAATTCTAAAATTCAGTTCACAATGGAGTTAGAGGCAAACAATTCCTTAGCTTTTCTAGATGTGTTAGTAATTCGGAATCCTGATAACACCTTGAGCCATACTGTGTATAGAAAAAAGACCCATACAGATAGATATTTAAACGGTGATTCTCACCACCATCCTTCACAGTTAGCTACCGTGGGTAAATCTTTGGTTTCAGAGAGCACGAGGGATCTGTGACAGTAAACACCTGGCTGCAGAGCTCCACCATGTCAAGCAAGTTTTGCATGACAACAAGCTTCGAGTCCCGCGCCTACGTCACAGTGAACGAGTGAAGCCGGCCACAGTCGAGCGTGTACCTGCTGTACTGCCATATGTTAGAGGAGTCACTGACAAGATTGGCTACATCTTGAAGCGCGCTTCCATCAAAACATACTTCAAGCCGCTGAAGAAGATTGGTCAGTTTTTACCATCGGTCAAATGTAATGTCCCTCTGCAAGATGCAGAAGTGTACAAGCTCGATTGTGAATGTGGTCTCTCCTACATAGGACAAACTAAAAGATCAATAAAAACCCGCGTTAAAGAACATATAGCTGATGTGAAGAATCGACGCTCCGGGAAGTCTGCAGTCTGTGAACATGTACAGGATCGCCCCCCGTCACTACATCAGATTTGATAGACCGCAGATCCTCGCTAAAGAACACCGATTCCTTCCAAGGATGATTCGCGAGGCTATTGAAATCAAAAAACATCCTAATTTCAATAGAGAAGATGGCTGGGTGCTACCATCTGCTTGGGATCCTATAATAAATAAAATTAAATCCCAACCCAAGCATACAACTGCAAGACTTCAAGATACCATAAGTTCATACTGCATAGATCGGAACAAAAGTTAAATTTTAATCTATGGTAACCGCGGTTAACTATGACATATGGACGTTGAACATCTCAGTCCTACCCGTGACCATGAGTGCTGTAAAGCGTTCGAAACGTCGGGTATTTAAAAAGTTAAAATATACGCGATAAATTCCGTAAAAACTAGTATTATTTCAATTATATTTTCTGTTTTGACAGCTCATAAAAAGTATGTCAATTGACTTGTGATTTCAGTGAACAACGTTCTATCAATTTCAATCATTTATAGATAAAATATTTAATTATTTTCTATAATTAAATATTGAAAAGGACGAAGAGAGAACGAAATGTGAAATATGGGTAAATCAGGAATGTCTAGAACAGTTAAATGAAATTGTATACTTGGGGAGTGCTTTCAGCCGGGATGGAAGATATGATTTAGATGTGGACAGGCGTGTCGCTGCCGGGAACAAAGTCAATTGTGCCCTGAATGCGTTAGTCAAAAGGCAAGGCGTAGTGAAGAGTGCACGCCTTGCAATACATAATGCAGTGTTGGTACCGACTTTGTTATAAGGCAGCGAAACCTGGGTATGCCAGAAGATGCATAAAAGCAAGTTGAATGCAGTGGAAATGCGATCTCTTCGTAAAATGTGCGGCGTTACCATAGCCGACCGAAAGCGAAACGAAGAGATTCGCTATATGGCAGGATTGAAAGATGACCTTATCACAAAAATTGATAGGGGCGTACTCCGATGGTTTGGGCACGTTGAGCGAATGAGTGAAGACCGAATGGTGAAGAAAATATATAGCGCGAAAGTAAATATTAAAAGGTGTCGAGGTAGACCGAGACTAACTTTCGAAGACCATGTGAGCAAATTACTCGAAGAGGGTCAAGAGTACTCGGAAAGAAGCGAAAGAGGTATGTAAGGATCGTGACACTTGGCGATCTGTTGTCTCTGGCTACCCCGTTAGGGATTGAGCGTAAAGATATGTGTAATACCTTAAACTAAATTTAAAAGTAAGTAACAGTAGTAAAATGAAAGATGTGCGTATTTAAGGCAAACTTATTATTGTCCAATGTGGTTTTCTCATCATTTATTGTAATAATTCACGGTAATATTTGAATACAACGTACTCTTACGTACCTAGCCGCTTCTAAACTGGAATAAGGCGCTCGTTTCTTCGTACTAGGCGTGGGTGTATTTTGAAAATCGTTATCGAAGGGCGTGGCGTGCTGGTCCCTTGGTGAAAAATCGTTGGAGAAGCGATAGTCCCTGCGTGGCCTCTCCTCGCGCCTGTTGCGTCGTCGAGTGTCACGGATGGAGTCACGAGCCGGGTCACGAGTCGAGTCACGAACCGGGTCACGTGATTCGCGGTCGATGTCACGTCGTGACGCGTTTGTTGTGGATCGACGTCCCGGCCAGCCAAGAGTCGATCCATACCTATAAAACAAAACAAATTTTACACATTTTTTTAATGTACTTATTATTATAGTGTTTGGTTGTATTCGATGGTATCACTTTTTAAAATCACACAAAATGTCGATTCACAGTGTTTGTTCCGCGCCCACCATTCGCCTTTTTTTAAATTAAATTATGAACCTACTCAAGAATATTTTAATATATTAATGTGTCTGGCTAGTAGTTTCTCTACTGCAACTATGCAGCGCGGCGTTTGCGTTTTTAAATCATTGGTTTTAACGAACGAACGATAAACTGCTAAATGAAGTCAACAGAGGTCAAAATCATAGAATACTATAATACATATACAATAGAACAGGGGAGTGGGCGGAGCCCGCGTAGCCACTAATATGACACTATCATGTCAATTCACACATATAAATGTGTTTTGACGTTACAATCGTTTCCAAATTTCGCATGCAAATTATTTAGAAAAAGACATATTGCACCCTATTTACAAAAAAAAGTAAAGTAAAGTTATCATGTATTTCAAATAAATTATTTATTAAATATGTATTAAAATTTAATAATGATCTTGAGCAGTAATCAAAAGTTTAAAATGAGTAAATTTACTCAGTCTGTCAATACAGCGAATCAGGTTCGGCGACGTCAATTATCGTATAAAATAAAGTTGACAGCCATTCTATTGTGTATTATAGTATTCTATGGTCAAAATCATGACCTCTTTATATTGTTACTTACTACTAATTAGCTTTTATTTTAGTCTTTGTGGGTTGTTTGAATCTATTTTCTGAAATAGAACAGAATCATATCACTTAAGAGCAACTTTACAGATCAAACAAGGTTTTCTACATAATGAATAAACAATATCTCAACAGGCACTTGTTAGCCAAATGTTTATGTAGTCGATATTCTGATTTGATGGGTGTTTGACATGTTCGTTACATAATATATGGTGTTTACGTTTTCCAGATCAATTTTTGCAATAAAATTACACAAATTAAAAATTAAAACAAAATACCTTCGATCATTTGGATCCTCATTCTGTCTTATTTCTTGTCGCCGTCTAGTTTCGCGCCAACCTAAAGAGCCATAATTTCTTTCTGGGGCAAAATTTAATAATATTAAATTAAACAATATTTTAAAATACATTTATTGAACCACTTTGGAACCAAAATAAAAGTTCACTTCTAAACATAGGCTTGTCCCATAGATTCTATATCTATCTATCTATATATATCCCATAGATCTATGATTTTACCACAGTTGACACGGTTTGTAGGCAGTTTTGCAATTAGCAGGTTTGATACTTTTTATTTCTTATTACGAAGGAGCAGCTGCCCATTTCTCCTTGTTTTTCATTCCAGTTTCACCTTGTCGCCTTTTACTACGTCCATAGGACATCTCACCGACTACCTCGGTGTACAAAATACATAGATTTTTCTCCTGTGGTTGTCACTTCCTTGAACTAAAAAGCTCATTGCCATTTCGGTTTTCTAATTCGTTGAAGTTTCTTACTCTAGTCCTACTGCGGCCTTCTGCGGATTCATAATAAAGATATTCATTATGAAATCTTTCTCACAAAAAGAATATCTCTAAGCCTCCTATTTAGTTCGTTAAGAGACTTTTGGTTTTATAATTCTGTTTGCAAGTGAGGGCTAATTCTCAGTTTTATACGTCACCATAACTTGCAACAGACACACATTTTTTTAAATTTACCTTTTTGTTTTAAAAACGTTACCCCCACACTAGGATTTTCTTCCGTATCGTGTGGAACAATTATTTGTAGGCCGTACAAATACTTGTTCCGTGCGGGATTCGAACCCGCGACCCCCAGCGCAGCCACTCATTGCTAAGCCACTGCGCCACGGAGCCGTCAAATGGTTATTAATGTTTAAATCATTACACGTTAAAGTTATCACGGGGATCTTTTACATATTAATTTTGAGTATGGAACATTCAGTAGTGTGTAGCATAATCTTAATTTTACTACCATTAGTACCATTACCAATACAAACTATCAAAGTACACTTCTGAACGTAGGCCTCCCCCATAGATTGCCTTATAGAGAGGATATATGCCGTATTGGCAAGCGGGTTCAAAACCGTTTTTTTAATCCAGCAGTTATCAGGAATATGCTGATGTCCATCTCCCAGTACAGTTACCCTCTGTCGCCTCTTACAAAACCCTCGGAATGGTATGGGGTAGTAGTCATTTTTACACTGCCACTATACTAAGTATTAACCTCTCAAATCCCTAGCGGTGTCATGAGGTCGCAACCACCCACAGCACTCTTCAACCCATAAAAACTTATATATAGAGACTACTTTTCTGTGAAGAAGTCTGGCATTATATAATCAACATGAAATACTCTATCCTCTAGTGCAATAAAAAACTGTTATCCTATGAATATTTTAAAATTAAATTAATTAAAAATTATTTATTGCGTTTCAAAAGGTATTAACAAACAAGTGTCAAGGGCCCCTGTACTGGGTTGGTAAAACCTGTGTTACGAGGTACCCCGCTCTTCCAAAAGATAAATTTTAACAATTTGAAACATAGGATATTACATATTATATTAGTGCTTTAACAATCCTTAAGACATGAATTGATGACATTTTTGATACTTAAGAAAGAGTGAAAGTGTGTGTGTGTGTGTGTGTGTGTGTGTGTGTGTGTGTGTGTGTGTGTGTGTGTGTGTGTGTGTGTGTGTGTGTGTGTGTGTGTGTGTGTGTGTGTGCGTGCGTGCGTGCGTGCGTGCGTGTGCGTGTGCGTGTGCGTGTGCGCGCGCGCGTGTGTGTGTGTGTGTGTGTGTGTGTGTGTGTGTGTGTGTGTGTGTGTGTGTGTGTGTGTGTGTGTTTAAGGGGATACATATTAAGCCTACCATTTAATTTATTATATAGATGTTTTGATTGATAGGCAAATTGTTTTCTCTTAAATTTGGTTTTACAATATGGAATATTGAAAACAGGTAAAATTCTACGTTTTAGTGTCTGAGGGGCAGTGTATGGTAAAATGCTGTGGCGAACCCACAGCATTTTACCATTAATGGCACTCTTTAAAATGTACATTTGACGGGTTGTTAAGATTTTGTAAGAATTGTGTAGTTCATGAGTTGGGAAACGGATTGGTTTAAAGAACATCACTTTTAGTAATGCTCTCTGAGCCCTTTCAAGAGTTATTAAATAGGACTTAGCTGCCCCACCCCAAGCTGTAGTGCAGTAGCTTAAGACAGATTGGGCTAGTGCTTTATACGTACATATAAGGATTTTATTATCTGCGACATGTCTGAGCCTTCTAAAAACCCACATAAGCTTTCTTACCTTGTCAATGGTTCACTCAATTTGTTTGTTCAATAGTGATACCTAGATATTTAATAGTAGACGATCTAGCAATATCAACACATTGACAATTTTTCGCCTGGTGTTGGGAGCAGCTATGAATTTTGAGAACAAAGTCCGAGTGTGGTAAGGTAGATTTTCGTATCGTAAAAGGAACAAATTGGGTTTTTGATACATTAAGTGTTAATAGATGTGATCTTAAGTAATTTGATATATGTCGTAATCCTGATTCAGTCATCAAAATAGATGGAAATTTTGGTTTTTAGTGCCAGATTGCGTCGCAGAGGTTCAAACATCACATCAAGAATGACTGTACTGTGGTCAGTGGTAGGGTTAGTAAGAACAAGTGATTTAGCAGGGTGAGACATTTTCGGCATCATGTGATCATTGCTCATTTTATCACGGGTTGGGAGCCTGTGAGCTGGGAGTATCCCATAATAAGCGAGTGATGTTAAATAGTTATGACAGTTTGGATCTTTAGAGTGGATTTTGATGTCGATGTTTATGTCACCCGTTATAATAATATTCGGATAGCAATTATATTGTATGAGAAGAGATTGAAGGGATGATACGAATTCGTCAGTATTTCTAATAGATGGAGTGCGATATTTATTTATAATCTACGTTTATTTCGTACGCCATTTTCGCGTGAATGTTATTGTGTTGATTTTTGGTTTTTTTTAGTGTTTTAGTATAGTGTTTTATTATAAAAGTGTAATGAAAGTTTTTGTGTGAATATAATTTATCTTTTTACGTAAATAATTTCGAGTAATTTCAACATTCGCTTGGTACATTTTTTGTTATCAAAATACAATAAAATATTTTTGTAATGAAGTAAAACCTGACTTTTATTTAGACCACAAGATAGAGAATTTTGAACAGATTTTATAATGCTAAACTTTTTCATAGAAAAGTAGTATCTAAATATAAGTTTTAATGGCTTTAAGTGCTGTGGGTGGGTGCGGTCGCATGCGACCGCTCGGGATTTGCCGGGCGTATTCGACTGCATGGGATTTTTATGGCGCTTGAAGGGTTAATACTAATATTTGTTAAAATAATATGCTACCGTCTCTTCGCCATCGCTGCTCGGGCCATCGATCTCGCGGTGAAGAATGCCCTGACCCACAACCATCACTGTAGCTGAAACAAAAATAATGCACATAAATTCATATTTAATAAATTGCAAAAATTTTCTGCAAACAGGCATAAAATCTAAAACCAGTATACCTAGTAGCGTTACTAAAACTTACTATAAAATTCTTATTACGCTCTTATGACTCATTTATTAGTAAAATTGGCATTTAAGCTTCGGCCGCATCAGCGTGTATCGTCTTGAAGTAATGCGTGCTAAAGCTTCGAATGTCTTGACACTAAAAAGTTATCGCCGTAAAAGCTTTTTTTTATAGGAGGGGGCAAACGAGCATACGGCTCACCTGATGGTAAGTGATTACCGCCGCCCATGAACAGCTGCAACACCAGGAGGATTGCAGATGCGTTGCCGGCCTTTTAAAAAGGAATAGGCTCTTTTCTTGAAGGTTCCTAAGTCGTATCGGTCCGGAAAAATCTCTGGTGGTAGTTGATTTCACAAGGAACTTGTGCGAGGAAGAAAACTTCTTTTAAATCGCTTAGTGGTGGACCGCCAGTCATCCAGATGGTATGGATGGTATCGCGAATTTTGTCGCGATGTGCGATGTTGAAACTGTGCAGCTGGAATTAGTCTGAACAATTCCTCAGAACACTCCCCGTGGTAGATACGATAAAATACGCAAAGAGATGAAACATCTCTTCGCTGTACCAGTGAGTCAAGCCGATCGGAAAGAGCTCGGTCGCCGGCGATTCGAACTGCTCTGCGCTGGATGCGATCAAATGGAAGCAGCTCGCACTGGGGGGCCCCGGCCCAGAGATGGAAACAGTATCCCATGTGCGGCCGAACCTGCGCCTTGTAAAGTTGCAGGCGGTGTGCCGGCATGAAATACTGTCCCGCTCTGCTGAGAACGCCAAGATTTTTGGAGGCCAATTTGGCCTTCTCTTCCAAGTGACCACGAAACTGCACCTTACTCGATATGTCGACGCCGAGGATTCCGATACTAGCTGAGGCAACAAGGGGAGTATCTTGAAACTTAGGTCGTCTACAAAGGGGTTCTTTTTAGCGGTTAACGCGTAAACTTGTGTCTTCTGAAGGTTAAACTGGACTAGATTTAGTCGCCCCCAATCCGAGACTTTGTTCAGCAAAGACTTGACTTCAGACATAAGTTTGTGGCGATACTCGGAGACGTTTTCCCGAAATATTGGCACGGCCGGTGTACAGAGTCACCAGTACTGTCATCCGCGTAGCAATTAATGTTGCCGATTTGCAACATATCATTGCTATGCAGAAGAAACAACGTTGGTGATAACATACAGTCTTGTGGAACACCAGCATAAATAGGCTTGTAATCGGAGCTTGCACCGTCTACAACGACCTTGATGCTCCGATCTGCAAGAAAGCTGGTGATCCAATTGCACAATTTCTCGGGAAGCCCATAGAAAGGGAGCTTCGAAAGAAGCGCTTTGTGCCAATTTGTGCCGATCTAAAGCCTGCGCAATGTCCAAACTAACGGCCAATGCCTCTCCCTTGGACTATACTGCCTCCGCCCATCTATGAGTCAGGTAGACCAGAAGGTCACCATCTGATCGACCACGGCGAAAACCGTATTGGCGATCACTAATCAGCTGGTGATCCTCAAGGTACCTCATCAGCTGGCAATTTACCATGGACTTTATTGTTTTGGAGAACAAGAAGATGATGGCGATAGGCCTGTAGTTGGACGGGTCTGAGCGGTTGCCTTTTTTAGGGATCGGGTGGACGAAAGCCGTGTTCCATGATTTTGGGGCCACCGCACATGGATTACTGTTCCCATCTCTGGGCTGGAGCTCCCCAATAGCAGCTCCTTCCATTTAATCGCATCCAGCGCAGAGCGGCTCGAATCGTCGACGACCGAGTGCTTTCCGATGGCGCTGCGAAGAGATGTTGCATCTCTTTGCGTATTTTATCACATCTATCACGGGGAGTGCTCTGAGGAATTGTTCGGATTAATCCCAGCCACCAACTTTCGCATCCACACCATCTGGATGCTTGGCGGTTCACCACTGTACGTTTCACAAGTTTTCTTCCGCGTACGACCTCTCTGTGGTATAGTTAACCACCGGCGATTTTACTGGGCCGATATGACCTAGGGACCTTCAAGAAAAGAGCTTACTCCTTTATAAAGGGCACCGCACCTGCAATTCCCCTGGTGTTGCGGTTGTTCATGGGCTGCGGTAGTCACTTAACATCAGGTGAACCGTATGCTCGTTTGCCCCCTCTTCTATAAAAAAATATCTATCACTTTCTGGTAGACCACAACAAGATATGCCATACGTAATGCGTTTCCCTTGACTATGAATAGTATGAAGCCGTATTCTGTTGATCACCCAGAAGGCATTTCTGAAAGAATATTTAACCGTAATCTGTCCACGGCACGCATTATAGTAGAAAATGCTTTTGGTGTGGTGTCGGCCATTTTTCGTGTACTTCGAAAACCTATTTGTTTGGAACCAGAAAAAGCATCCAAAGTGGCGATGACATGTGTTTTGCTTCATAATATCTTATGAAAACGTAGAACCTCCAGATTCATATGCAATCCTGATTGTAAGACGCATTTGAAAATGGAGAAATAATACGTGGGTCCTGCAGATATGAGGAACAAAGTTCAGTTGCAAGAAGATCCTCTTTACCTCCATTACAAATAAGAGATAAGTTTGCTGAATATTTCAGTACATTGTAAGATTCAAAGGTATTGACAAATAAAAATAATAAAATTTTGTTATAGTAACAATTTTTATTATCCATTAAAAGTAATGCACATTTTTCACTGTTATTACTATGTGTGTTCACTATTCTTGCTCTGAATCAATGGTATCAATTTTCAATTCATAAGCTTCAGCTGATATATTATCTTTACTACGATTTATGAATTTTGCGACACTGGCTGCGTTTGGCAGAAATAAGCACTAGGAAGTGCTTATAAGCAAAATGGCGAAACTAAACAATTTTCGGCCAGGACACGTTTGCTAACTTCAGTAGCGCTGACGCAATCCGCCATTTTGCTTATTTACTTTGTTTGTTTTGAAGTAGAGTTTATAAGCTGTTTTGTGCAATATTAGTTTCAAGTTATATAATGACATAAATAAACATAATATACATATTATTAAAAATTCAGGATTGGTAATTTTTCAATATGAATACTTTACAAACATATATTTAAATTAGGTTTATCTCCCCGGTTAAAACTAACTTCGTGTCCTAGAGGAAAATAGCTACTTACGATTTGACAGCGCATACCGCTTACGATCGCCATTTTGCTTACAAGCGCTTCTTAGCGCTTTTTTCTGCCAAACGCAGCGAATATGGATCTTCTTTCGGTTATTTCGTGACATAGACAATGGTTGTTGCGTTATCATTGAAATTCAGTTGCTTGGCAAAGATTAGATTTGTGGTGATGAATGAACTGGTTGGAAAGATGGTTGATGGGGCTGTAATAATACCACTTCATGGTCAGATGATAATAAAAAGGCTACCGACTGTGTCGATTTTACGGTCGGCGGTTTTGGTGATGATGGATGAATTATGAATGGTGATTGTGGTGAATTTAAAATCGTATCGTTTTGATTGTGAACTATTCGTTCGTTCTTTTTCGTTCTTGGGCTTTAGCTGACATTATTCCCTGATAAAATAAATTATTAATATTGTACATTAAAATTATCCTTCGTTCTTCGTCTATTTTTTTATTTTTCAGCTAAAAGCTGTGCATATAAGTCGGTTTAGTTTAAGGTTGCCGCTTTCTTTAATTATTGAGTAAGCCTTGTTCATTTATTTTTTTGCTTGCAGAAGCTCTGGCATATCATGTTGACGTTTCTTCTTAATCGGCATACATCACAGTTTGGTTTCTTTGGGTGCTACTAGAAGATTATTCAGCAATATCAGCTTTTCAATTGGTTCCTGAAATTATAAGTAAAATCCAGTTTAAGTTTGTTGAAACAATAGCGAAGGTAATTAATACTGTGTAAGTATTTATTTAGGTAAAAGGAATTTTACAATATGACAATGCACAATTATATAGACGAGAGAGAGAGAGAGAGAGCCTATTCACTTATAGGCGACAAACATACGCATCAGGAACATTGTCATTAAATTCAGCGCAGGCGTCCATACTTTCAACAAAGTTGTTACCATACCCAACCATACCCCACACAATGAAATAGGCGGGTTTGATTTTGATTCAAGCTGTATGGTACACGCGGCTCCACACGAAATCATAGACTGTAAACGTGTTTAAAAGAATTGGAGCTACGTACCTCAGTATTTATTGTAGCGGAGCACTCATAAATAGGCGCCAGAAAACTGTCCATTGTAGAATATATAAATCAATTAGTTTTGCACGATTCTTCAGTTCCCATTTCAGATTTTTTACTACTTTTAATTTTATTGAGATGAATTCTATAATACGCCATCAAAGAATCCTTCTTCTTCAATTCTTCGATACTCGTTGAGTTACCATAACTCAAATTATTTTTCAAACAACGCCATGCGTCGGCCACCAAATGTTTTTTGTAATTCACATTTTTTTGATCTCGTATCATAGGCTCATATTCACAATTATCCATGAATTCCAGTACATATTCATGTTTTAAACAGCCACCTGTATGCGTCTGAGCTGATCGAAAACAACGGACGAAATGAACTGCGCTAGTCTGAGCACGCAGCGCGATATGTTGACGCGCTTAAACCCGTTTGATATCACCCGCACACGCACACGCAACCCGAATATTCGCGACGATAGCCGATAATAGCCGGTCACATCTGCGTGTGCCGTGTCGCTTTATAGCGATACACGCAGATGTGGCCCCAGCGTTAAAAAAATAAGTACTTATAGACATTTCACATTGTATTGATAACAGAAATTGCAACATCGCATGTAAAATAAGACCGCAGATATTTAGCTCTTCTCTGAAAAAGGCTTAGATAATTGAATAAATTTCTTTTCACTTTAGCTTTTAGTTTCTTTTTGAGTTGTAACGTTGGTGTAGTAACGTTGAATAGAATTGCGGTTCAGTAGCGCAATGGTTAAGCGAAAGCTAAGGTTAAGGGTTCGAATCCCACACACAATAAGTGATTCTTTGGTCTATAAATAATTATGTCTGTATTTGTGTCTATATACAATTAAAGTATAAAAAACACCACAATATAGGAAATGCTATTGAAGTATAAAACACAACAATATTAAAATCTTAAATAAAACTAAATTTGCTGATAATATAAGAATACTGAGAATCTCACTCTTCGTCCTCATCGTATGAATGTCGGTTCTTCCTATGTCTGTCTCGTTCTTTCTCCCTATAATCCTTAGAAAGTCTTTCTCTACTCCGCGAATCTCTGTAATCCCGTTCTCTACTGTACGTTCTCTCTCTGTCCCAGGTTTCAGGATCTCTTTCTCTACTCCTGCGATCCCTTCGGTGTTCTCTGTGATCTCTATCTTTGCTGACGTCTCGACGGTCCCTCCCACTACCAGAGTCTCGCCTGTCTCTAGCGGAGTCTCTACCGTCTCTGCTAATGTCCCTATCCCTAGTTCTTTCCCGTTTATCCCGCACTTTCTCTTTTTCACGTCCACTGCCAGAATCAAGACACTCTCTTGATCCTGACGAGTTTTGCCTGTAAAAACATAACAATCTATTATTTATTTTCTACGGAAGCTAGAAATAATATGTATCGCCTAAACTAAATACGGGTTTTGCAATATTTATTTACAAGATGCGTCACCAATTTTTGACAACACAAAATTTATACACTGTCACTCATCCTCGGTCTTGATATCTCTGGCATGGTTTTGGCCTCGTATAAGCAGTACATATCCCAGCATCAATAAATTAAAAAACAATTGTAGTTGTAATTTCTAGTCCAAATGAATTTAAAAAAATGATTTAATGTATTATTTTAGTAAAAACATGTTTACTTAAATGTTAATGGCCTGTTTATGTTCCTCGAAATTTAACTAGTTTGTATATTTTATTGAAATGTATATTTTAACAGAAACAGAAACTTTTTATTCAATATAGATTGTAAACAATACTTATTGAAAGTCACTTTTTATTTTCATTTACCATTGGTTCGCAAAAAATACCTCTGTCCTGGGAAGAACCAGCGGGACTAATTTTTTAAGGATTTTATATGATTAAACTGGCCATGTGGTGGCAGGATTAGATATTCCATTAAGTACTTCATTTCATCCCGTGTGCGTCGCAAGACTTAAGTTAATTCCCAGAAGACCTTATAACCTTTGATGCGTGGTACTATAACCATATTAATCTATATCAAAGGTTGAGTTTCCAGACTGACGAAGGAAGCCTAAGTAAGGAAACTATGTAGTCGCGCCACAAGCGAAACGAACCGAAGCTTTAATCACGCTATCAAAGTTCCGAAGTACAGCGGGTATATATAGAATAACTCCGAAATATCATAAGGAGCGTTGGCCGCTCCCAGGGCTGTACACCTTGCCTGGCGGGAGATCTCCCCTTTTCCTTCCACTGCTAAAGTAATATGAGTAAAGAATTCATTATCATCACGTTTCGCACACATTGTTGATCACATTACAGAAGCCTCGAACCTTTGACGCACTTCAGATTCCAATCTGCACACAGCAGTTTATATTCACTTTTACGCTATTAACATAAATACTATATACTCGTATTAACATAAATACCTATTCTATACAAAGTTTTGACCTGGAATACAAACCAAAAACGCGTACATACAGTTGCAACATGCATTATACGTAAACATATTTATGTTTATATTTTACTCCAAAAATATAAACAATTTGGAATGTTATTTATATAATAATCTTTATCAATCCGTATACTATTCACTATTGTATTTAAGCCTATTCACATCGAATAAGCATAACAAGTGTTCCATTTTCCGTCCAAAAGTCCATTATATTATACCTTGAGTCTCTCTCTCGGTGCCGCGAAGTGGGCCGCTGCAATCGTGCCACTGAAGGTGGCTCTTCGTCCCACGGCGACACGTCACGCGAAGACGACGAAGTTTGAACTAAAACAAAACGTAATACTTATTTACAAATTCTCAATCATAAAGTACGATGATGTCTACTTGCCAATTTGGATCGCGGTAAAATTCTAAATAGTGACGTAAAATATTTTCTACACAGGAGATATTACAATGACACAAGAGCCTGCTAAGAGAAAGATGCTTAACAGACACTTATGTCATTACATAGTTGACTTATGGTACTCGTGTTTGACGTAACGCTTACACGTATGAAGGCACGTATAATATTAGGGATTGAAATCCGGTTCCAAATTTCATTACAGTTTTTTATTCAGGCTCTAATAAAGGTTTCGTTTTTCATTATGGTTCCAGTTTTAGTTCTGGTTAAGATATCAGTTTAAGACCGGTTCATAAAATATAGGTTTATTAGTTTATTAAATTTCAGGTGATTTCGCCACAAAGTGCATTCTTGGGACACTATATATATACATATATATATATATATCGCGGCTTTTCATGTTGGACGGACACAGATATTGAGATATTTTGCATAAGAGCTAATGTAAAAATATTTCTATGTTACGAATACATTTAAAAATCCGTTTTTATAACCTTTTTATACCTCTATTTAACGAATTTTTTCAACTTAGTACCTTGACATAACATATCCTATTAATTATTCTCCCTTAATTCCACAATAAATCATGTCTTGATAGATTCAGACATCTTAAACATTAAAAGAACTTGTTAAAACTAATTGTAGTCCCACCTAACCTCTGTATAACAAACCTCATTATAACCAAATACTTAGTATCGAATATTTTTAATTCCCATCAGTTTCGTTATATTGACGTTGCTCTATAGTTTGAGTTCTTATCACGAAGAAGCTTTTTTAACTTTTATAATTCAATATTCGACGCCTATAGGATGCACTACATACGCTCACACTTATAACTTAATAAAAGCTTTGTCTCAATTATTCTACAGTATAATCGAATCGAAAGCAGAATTCTGGCAAATTACTCTGCACCTTTGCTGTACGCATTATGCTGCTACGTACCTTCTATACTATTTTTGTCTGTCGCCTTTTACGTCATCTACGGGATGATATGCGTACAGAGAGTCTAACTGTTGTCTAACGACTGTACCAAGACAACAGAAACGAATGCACCTAGACAAAGCAACGGCTGGCAAAGTCTGCTGCAGCTACGTAGGCGGCGGTATCGGCTGACATCAAAGACGTTTCCAAACTTTTTTTTATAGAATGGAAGGCAAACGAGCTAACACTTAACATCAGGTGAACCGTATTCACCTGATGTTAAGTGACTACCGCCGCACATGGACAACCGTAACACCAGGGGAATTGAAGGTGCGTTGCCGGCCTTTTAGAAAGGAGTAAGCTCTTTTCTTGAACTGTATACTGTCTTTAAACTGTGATATAGGGTAGTTGATTTTCTTACTTATACTACGCTACATCGTGAAATAATATTTTTGTTATAGAATGAGGGTGACATTCAAGCACAATCCATCTGATAGTAATTTGTACTAAACCCTTCAATCCCCATAAAATTCCCATGCAGTCGCATGCGTCCGTCAAATCCCGAGTGGTCGCATGCGACCGCACCCATCTACAGCACTTTAAATCATTAAAACTTATATTTAGACTATAAAGTTTGGCATTATAGAATTAATACAAAATTCTCTATCCTGTGGTCTAAACAAAAGTCAGTTACTCTATATATTTTTATTCTATTGTCAATTTACAACATATTAAACCATAAAACACAGCACTTTAAATCATAAAAACTTATATTTATGGACTACTTTTCTATATAGAAATTTGTAGAATCTATACAAAATTCTCTATCCTGTGGTCTAAACAAACCTGATTGGTCTCTATGGATTTTTATTTTTAATCTACCGTAAAATTGCGCCATTTTCGTATGGTCGGCAAATGTCGTAAATTGACAGTATAATTTTTTAAGTAATGAGAATATAAATAATTTGATGAGACATTTTGAATAAACAATGCTGGCGTCTATGGCTGTCTCCTGTTGCCAGAAATATAGTAAAAAATAATTATTCCATACAATATAATATAGAGCAACCGCGGTGTTTGTTTTTAACGTGTGTTTATTGCGATTAACTATCGATAAAATTTACAACGCGCAGTGTGGCCAGGCACCTTCGGTATAGGCGAAAGGCGAAGTTTTATCGCTGGATTTGTATCGCGAGGTATGTGGCATAGGCATTACAAAAAAAATATAAAAGTGAATATTTACCCATGCGTGAGCGCGAGTGCGGGAGGTGCGAGTGGTGCGCGAGGTGTGGCGGGTCCGCGTGGTGACGGCGGCGCGGGCGCGTGTGCGGCTCGGAGGCTCGCGAGTCGGAGGAGGCGGGCGAGCCGCCGCGCAGCACGGCCCAGCGCCCCGCGCGCCCGCCCGCGCCCACCCCCGCGCCTGCACCCACCCCCTCTCCCGCCGCACCACTTGCTGCTTCAACACCGCGTTATTTGCATACCATTTACTCAACAATAAGCATTTTTTTATTTATACTCGTAGTATAAGGGTAACTAACGAGCACCCAGTCCACCTGATGTTGCCTATAGACATCTACATTTATCCTCGATCAAGAACCAAAATGCAGATGCGTTATCACCCCTGATTTTTTTATAGGATAGGGCGACAACCGAGTACACCGTCCAGCAGATGGTTAGTGGTTGCTGTGGCCCATAGACATCTATCCTCGATTACAAAACAAAATGCAGATGCGTTGTCACCCGTGAGGACTAAGATGGAATGCCTCGTTTCCAGTAAAAAGGGTCTCCGGTTCTCTACACTCACCATACGAAACACAGCAGCATTAAGCCACTATTTCACGCTGGTATTCTGTGAAAGCGTGGTCCTTCCCCCGTCGAGGCGACCCATTCGTGCTACAACTATACTACTAATATAAGTGCAGCACGGCTCTACCATGTATAATTGCTAACATGAAAACCGATTTTAATCAAATTTGCACACCGTGTGGCAGGTTGGTCCAACTTGAGATATAGGATAGTTTTTTTTGCCCATGAGTGACCCATAATTTTTTTGCGAATTTAATGATTTTTTAATAGGACATGACAAAGGGTCGTCGAAAAGGGCAAAACAACGTCTGCCTGACAAGCTAGTAATTTATACCGGCCACGCAAAGCCGAGATCATTTGCCTTTAATATAAATAGCGCCCCATTGACAGAAGGACAGAACAATTTCTACCGCTCCAGTTAATATATTTTATTTCATAAAACTTAAGTGATAAAGGAACTTCTAAAGACCGATTTACACTTCGACAAGTACAATAGCGAGTTAACTTGCGAATCTGGCGAGTTAAGTAGAAAATCTCGTTTAAACGTCAATTAGTAATTAAGTAGCAAGTTAACAATTATGTTGGTCGGTCTATTTTTCGGTGAGTTAAGTGCGAAGCGTTGCTCGCCCGCGCGTCTTCCACCACTCGCAACTAAACTAAACAAAAACTAAAAGTTTAGTTCAGTGCATAAGTTGACAGGACGCAATGTGTTCGCGTTTGACCTTCTAAATATAAAATTGTACTTTTTTAACTAAACTCGCCACGAAGACATTTGAACGCTACTGTCAACTTAACCGTTTACTGTCAACTGCCCTGTTACTAAACTCGCTACTGTACTTGCCGAAGTGTAAATCGACTATAATAGTAACTACTACAATCCACGGTCACCTGTAGCCAACTCCAAGCAACGGAAGCTACATATGCGTTATCACATTTGAGGACTAAGTTGGAATGCCTCACAGCCTGTATTTATATAGACACCCTATACCATCCAGACACACAACAGTCTAAGCACTGCTTTCTGGTTGCAGAAATTGGCAAGAGAGTGGTTTCTACCCAAACTCCTAGTCAAAAAAGGAGTCCTACATTAAATAACATGATTGTGGGTTCCGGAAAACGTGATCAATGAGGGCTAATAATCTTTCACTTATTTACCATAATACCTATTTTTTAAACATTTTTAACTTTTAATTCTTTTATTTTTAGGAATATCCATAGTTTGGTTTGTTTTTTACGGATATGAAATAATCGAATTAATATGAAATATAACTAATAAAATATTAAATGAGGATATCCGCAGAAGAACCAGAGTGACCGACATAGGCCAACGGATTAGTAAGCTGAAGTGGCAATGGACCGGCCATATAGCTCGAAGAACCGACAACCGTTGGGGAAAAAAGGTTCTCGAGTGGCAACCTCGTATCGGTAGGCGAAGTGTAGGGCGACCCCCCACTAGATGGAGTGACGATCTGGTAAGACATGCAGGAAGTCGATGGATGCAGGTGGCTCAGGACCGTGCTTTGGGGCATACCTTGGGGGAGGCCTATGTTCAGCAGTGGACTTGTGATGGGCTGTGATGATGATGATGATGATGATGATAACTAATATTTCGGAAAGAAACATTAATCTCTACACTTTTCTTTTTTCTTTTCTTCTTATTTGTAATCTGTCAAATATATCACTTTATTTATAAGTGACGCCGCCCTGGTGATAGAAAAAGTCGTGGATACCCTCATTGATATCATTTTCACACAATATATTTGTTTTGTTGACAATATGGTGCACAGCTGTGTCCGACAGATCCGACAGACATATTTAAAGTTATGTAATTATATATTTATATTATAATCAATATCATTTCTATCTTTCTAATTATCTATCTAATTTAGATATTACTATTGCTAAAGATTTAATAATTTGATATTGCATAGTAAGTAATTTAGATTATAGATTAAACTGAAATGATATAAATATACCTTTCGTGTCTGGAGAAGATCCGCTAACAACGTCACTGATGGATCCGGTAGAAAGACGCGCGGGGGCTTGTATTTCTCTAACTGGAATTGTTTCAATTGGAGATTCCTTTTTCACTTCTATTTTCTTTTGTTCCTCCTTTTCTTTTACTACTGGGCTCTTTCTAAATGCGTCTTCCACGTGCGTGAAAGAGAGTGAGCTATTGTCGATGCAATCGAAAAAGTCCGAATTGTCAAAACCGTCAGATCTTTCATCTGACTTCTTTCTTTCTTTTGGTATTTCTGGAGGTATGGATTCAAACTCATCTGGTGGTGGTTCAGTTATAGTTATTTCACGTAACGCCGCGTACCTATCACTTGCGTCTTCTTGCTTTGCTTCTGTAACACCGTTGTCTCGAGGCGATACACTTCCTCTTGCTTTCTCGTTCATTTGTAAATTCTTCATAACAGTCTTTATGTCTTCTATTTTAGCGTCGATCGAAGGTTTGGGACTAACAGAGTTTCTAAACATGTTAAACGAATCTAAAGTCAATTCATCTAGTGTTTTTAAAGGACTTCGTGTTGGCTCTTTTTTCTCGTCTAATTCTTTTTCTGTTTGTAGTAAGTCGTCAATTCCTGTAGTTTCTTCCTTACCATCGGATTCAATTTTGTTTTCGCTGTCAATTGGATCTAGAATAGATTTCGCGCTAAGCTCTTGCGCCTGTATTTCTCTGAAAACTGCATATCTGTCGTACGTTGAATTTGCCTTCTTTTCGAAGTCGTCAAAATTAGCAACAAATGCTTCAGTGGTTTCAGGCGGCGCGAAATTATCTTCAAATTGTGGTTTGAACTCTGCTGCTATTGATGTTAAAGACAAGACTGGTTTATCCTTCGTCGTCGTCAACGGCGGTGGAATTATTGATACTGTTTTTTCTTTTTCTGCTCGCACGGATGGATCTACGTGAATATGCTGAAAAAAATAAGAGTAAAAAATATATTTTCCAAACAACTGTCTTTAAAAGAATAAAGGCCTCCTCTCATCTCAGAAAAGTTATGAAGCTATTGGTGGATCGCGCTGCTCCAGTGCTTGTTGGCGAATTTCACTTTTTTTCTTCAGAGATTAAGGGTGACATACGAGCATACCGCCTATTATCACATCTATCCTCGATTGAAAATCAAAATGTATATGCGTTATCACCCCTGAGAATCAAGATAGAATGCTTTTATTACCAACTAAAAGGGTCTACGCTTCTCTGCACTCATCATACGAAACACAGCAGCATTAAACTGCTATTTCACGCTTGTATTCTGTGAGAACGTGGTCCTTTCCCTGTCGAGTCCCGCACTGCAACTATAATATAGCTGTAGCTTAGCTCTACCACGTTAAAGTCGAAATATTTTATTACTCAGACATGTAGGTTTCCTCACGATGTTTTCTTTCACCGATATTTACGCGGTGCTATAATTTAAAATTAGTGTTTAGATAACATACTTACTGATCTTTCATTGTCTGCAGCTAAATATGATCTGAGGTATTCCGTAAGTTGTGGTAAGGTCATAGACGAAAGGGTTGTAGCAGGTACCCGCAATCTGCAATACAGTAAAATGTATTTTTAAATAATTTTTAAGATGTGATATAGTATATATATTGATAAGATGGGATGTGATGTAATAAAGATGAATGCCAGCTTAAAATAGTAGCTTAATGCTGCAGTGTTTCGTATGGTCACTGGTCAGTGTAGAGAACCAGAGACCCTTTATACTGGAAACGAGCCATTGTATCTTAGTCCTCAGGAGTGACAACGCATCTGCATTTTGATTCTTAATTGTGCATGTCTTTGGGTCACAGCACCCAATTACCATCGATGGACTGTGGGCTCGTTTGTCAGCCTTATTCTAAAAAGAGAAAGATGCCATCAAAAACATTACTTGTAAAAAACAAGTCTCGCAACTCAGTTCCTCTACCGTAAAAAGTTGTAAGTTCCATGTAATACCAAGTCGGTTAATTTATTCCACTTAACCTTCCATTTTAAGTTATTACGTAATTAGCTAACCTAACAACATCTTATAGTGACCATATCAATATTAAAAATCTTTTATGTATCTAGAAAACTGGACCGAAGTTGAAAAATATTTTTGTTTTTTTTTTTCTTGATTTATACACTAAACACTAATTGTATTCTAAATTTGAAGCTTCTATGTCTGCTAGAAGTGCCTTAGAGTTTTGATGATCGGTCAGTCAGTCAGTAAGTGAGAAAATTAAGAAACTTTGACTAGTTATAATTCTTAAACTACTGGTTCAATTTGAATGAAATTTGAAATATACCATGTTTATTACAATGCCTGCTTGGTTATTGAAAATTCAGGCTTCGAAAAAAAATTCAGGTCGAAAATGACCTGAACTGCTTCGAGAAAAGTATGGTACGGCCGTGCCGCTTTTTTGCTCGACTTGGCAGATAGACGTAATAGATCTAAAAACCTTCGTTTCTGAATCTTTACCAATTATTCATTATTTATCAGTTGTGATGTGAATTTATTATCGAATTTTTTTTTGAATTTTTGATGTCACTTTGTTGCTCTTCTGGGCTGGATGGTACTACCCATAGAACACTATAATACATACATAATAGAACGGGGGAGTGGGCGGAGCCCGTGTAGCCACTAACATGTCACTACACGTCAATTCACACCTATGAATATCAACACAATCGATCGTTTCCAATTTTCGTGTCGAGTGTCGCTGCATGCAAATTAATAAAAAAAAGGCAAATTGTGTAATAATTACGTGTCGAAATAACAGCGGTATATGAAATTTAAATAAAGAAGACATATCCTAAGGCGAAACTATTTATATTTTGTGAATATTAGAATCAAAAATAAAGAAATATTGATGTGTCAAAAACATTAATCAAAAATTTTAATGTGTGAATTCGCTCAGACTGTCAACCATCGTTTGAAGTATTTATTGAATATATGATATAAATGATATATAAAATTGCTATGATATGATATATTTGATATGATATTATAAATGATAAAGTGAACGACTGCTATATACGAATGCTTGAAGTGCACTGCTCGCTGAGTACTGGCGCGTTAATGTGCTAAGCTAAGTTGGCATTAAAATATGTACGTTTCACCGTACAGTAGTAATAATACGACGTAATTGCTTGTATTTGTGGTCCCGGCGACGCCGATCCTCGTACAAAATAAGGTTAACAGCCATTCTATTGTGTATTATAGTATTCTATAGTACTACCCTTTTGCTTTTTCCAAACAGCATTGGCCCCACTGCTGTGTTCAGTTAGAAGCTTCTGTATAATTTATAGGCTGTAAGGCAATCTATTTAGTCCCCTGAAATGACAAACTACACACTTAAAACAGGTATTTGATGTTTTGCAGACTTTGTTGTTAGTTAATTTTTAAGATGGTGATATTCAATACTAAAAGCGCCAACCACGATTATTACAAATTCTTCCTTTAATGAAGGCTTATATTAGTGAAGAAATCTTTCAAGGCATGGCATTTGAGTTGTTAAAACGTAAAAAGGGTTTTTCTTTAAATACTGTATTTTAAACCATGTAAAATAAAATCAAAAAATATACACACACTCAGCATCAATAATATAATATAAGCTGAGCGTGATGTCGCAGTACAAGTGTGGAGCGTGCGGTACCTGGGGGCCAGCTCGTCCATGGTGCAGGTGAGCAGCTGGCTGAGCGTGATGTCGAAGTGCATATGTAGGAGCGTGCGGTACCTGGCGGCCAACTCGTCCATGGTGCAGGTGAGCAGCTGGCTGAGCGTGATGTCGCAGTGCATGTGTGGAGCGTGCGGTACCTGGCGGCCAACTCGTCCATGGTGCAGGTGAGCAGCTGGCTGAGCGTAATGTCGCAGTGCATGTGTGAAAACGTGCGGTACCTGGCGGCCAACTCGTCCATGGTGCAGGTGAGCAGCTGGCTGAGCGTGATGTCGCAGTGCATGTGTGGAGCGTGCGGTACCTGGCGGCCAGCTCGTCCATGGTACAGGTGAGCAGCTGGCTGAGCGTGATATCGCAGTGCATGTGTGGAGCGTGCGGTACCTGGCGGCCAGCTCGTCCATGGTGCAGGTGAGCAGCTGGCTGAGCGTGATATCGCAGTGCATGTGTGGAGGTGCGGTACGGCTGAGGGTCGCAGTGCATGTGTGGAGCGTGCGGTACCTGGCGGCCAATTCGTCTATGGTGCAGGTGAGCAGCTGGCTGAGCGTGATGTCGCAGTGCATGTGTGGAGCGTGCGGTACCTGGCGGCCAATTCGTCCATGGTGCAGGTGAGCAGCTGGCTGAGCGTGATGTCGCAGTGCATGTGTGGAGCGTGCGGTACCTGGCGGCCAGCTCGTCCATGGTGCAGGTGAGCAGCTGGCTGAGCGTGATGTCGCAGTGCATGTTTGCAGCGTGCGGTACCTGGCGGCCAGCTCGTCCATGGTGCTGTTGAGCATGTGGCTGAGCGTGATGTCGCAGTGCATGTGTGGAGCGTGCGGTACCTGGCGGCCAACTCGTCCATGGTGCAGGTGAGCAGCTGGCTGAGCGTGATGTCGCAGTGCATGTGTGGAGCGTGCGGTACCTGGCGGCCAGCTCGTCCATGGTGCAGGTGAGCAGCTGGCTGAGCGTGATGTCGCAGTGCATGTGTGGAGCGTGCGGTACCTGGCGGCCAGCTCGTCCATGGTGCAGGTGAGCAGCTGGCTGAGCGTGATGTCGCAGTGCATGTGTGGAGCGTGCGGTACCTGGCGGCTAGCTCGTCCATGGTGCAGGTGAGTAGCTGGCTGAGCGTGATGTCGCAGTGCATGTGTGGAGCGTGCGGTACCTGGCGGCCAGCTCGTCCATGGCGCAGCTGAGCAGCTGGCTGAGCGTGATGTCGCAGTGCATGTGTGGAGCGTGCGGTACCTGGCGGCCAGCTCGTCCATGGTGCAGGTGAGCAGCTGGCTGAGCGTGATGTCGCAGTGCATGTTTGGAGCGTACGGTACCTGGCGGCCAACTCGTCCATGGTGCAGGTGAGCAGCTGGCTGAGCGTGATGTCGCAGTGCATGTGTGGAGCGTGCGGTACCTGGCGGCCAACTCGTCCATGGTGCAGGTGAGCAGCTGGCTGAGCGTGATGTCGCAGTGCATGTGTGGAGCGTGCGGTACCTGGCGGCCAATGCTGTCCATGGTGCAGGTGAGCAGCTGGCTGAGCGTGATGTCGCAGTGCATGTGTGGAGTGTGCGGTACCTGGCGGCCAGCTCGTCCATGGTGCAGGTGAGCAGCTGGCTGAGCGTGATGTCGCAGTGCATGTGTGGAGCGTGCGGTACCTGGCGGCCAACTCGTCCATGGTGCAGGTGAGCAGCTGGTGAGCGTGATGTCGCAGTGCATGTGTGGAGCGTGCGGTACCTGGCCGCCAGCGCGTCCATGGTGCAGGTGAGCAGCTGGCTGAGCGTGATGTCGCAGTGCATGTGTGGAGCGTGCGGTACCTGGCGGCCAACTTGTCCATGGTGCAGGTGAGCAGCTAGCTGAGCGTGATGTCGCAGTGCATGTGTGGAGCGTGTGGTACCTGGCGGCCAATTCGTCCATGGTGCAGGTGAGCAGCTGGCTGAGCGTGATGTCGCAGTGCATGAGTGGAGCGTGCGGTACCAGGCGGCCAATGCGTCCATGGTGCAGGTGAGCAGCTGGCTGAGCGTGATGTCGCAGTGCATGTGTGGAGCGTGTGGTAGCTGGCGGCCAATTTGTCCATGGCGCAGGTGAGCAATGCATGTGTGGAGCGTGCGGTACCTGGCCGCCAGCGCGTCCATGGTGCAGGTGAGCAGCTGGCTGAGCGTGATGTCGCAGTGCATGTGTGGAGCGTGCGGTACCTGGCGGCCAACTCGTCCATGGTGCAGGTGAGCAGCTGGCTGAGCGTGATGTCGCAGTGCATGTGTGGAGCGTGTGTGCTGGCGGCCAATTTGTCCATGGTGCAGGTGAGCATGTGACGTCGATGCATGTGTGGAGCGTGCGGTACCTGGCCGCCAGCTCGTCCATGGTGCAGGTGAGCAGCTGGCTGAGCGTGATGTCGCAGTGCATGTGTGGAGCGTGCGGTACCTGGCGGCCAACTCGTCCATGGTGCAGGTGAGCAGCTGGCTGAGCGTGATGTCGCAGTGCATGTGTGGAGCGTGTGGTACCTGGCAGCCAATTCGTCCATGGTGCAGGGAGCAGCTGGCTGAGCGTGATGTCGCAGTGCATGTGTGGAGCGTGCGGTACCTGGCGGCCAACTCGTCCATGGCGCAGGTGAGCAGCTGGCTGAGCGTGATGTCGCAGTGCATGTGTGGAGCGTGCGGTACCTGGCGGCCAGCTCGTCCATGGTGCAGAAGAGCAGCTGGCTGAGCAATATGTCGCAGTGCATCTGTGCAGCGTGCGGTACCTGGCGGCCAGCTCGTCCATGGTGCAGGTGAGCAGCGGGCTGAGCGTGATGTCGCAGTGCATGTGTGGAGCGTGCGGTACCTGGCGGCTAGCTCGTCCATGGTGCAGGTGAGCAGCTGGCTGAGCGTGATGTCGCAGTGCATGTGTGGAGCGTGCGGTACCTGGCGGCCAACTCGTCCATGGTGCAGGTGAGCAGCTGGCTGAGCGTGATATAGCAGTGCATGTGTGGAGCGTGCGGTGTCTGGCGGCTAACTCGTCCATGGTGCAGGTGAGCAGCTGGATGAGCGTGATGTCGCAGTGCATGTGTGGAGCGTGCGGTACCTGGCGGCCAGCTCGTCCATGGTGCAGGTGAGCAGCTGGCTGAGCGTGATGTCGCAGTGCATGTGTGGAGCGTGCGGTACCTGGCGGCCAATTCGTCCATGGTGCAGGTGAACAGCTGGCTGAGCGTGATGTCGCAGTGCATGAGTGGAGCGTGAGGTACCTGGCGGCCAACTCGTCCATGGTGCAGGTGAGCAGCTGGCTGAGCGTGATGTAGCAGTGCATGTGTGGAGCGTGCGGTACCTGGCGGCCAGCTCGTCCATGGTGCAGGTGAGCAGCTGGCTGAGCGTGATGTCGCAGTGCATGTGTGGAGCGTGTGGTACCTGGCGGCCAGCTTGTCCATGGTGCAGGTGAGCAGCTGGCTGAGCGTGATGTCGCAGTGCATGTGTGGAGCGTGTGGTACCTGGCGGCCAATTCGTCCATGGTGCAGGTGAGCAGCTGGCTGAGCGTGATGTAGCAGTGCATGTGTGGAGCGTGCGGTACCTGGCGGCCAGCTCGTCCATGGTGCAGGTGAGCAGCTGGCTGAGCGTGATGTCGCAGTGCATGTGTGGAGCGTGCGGTACCTGGCGGCCAGCTCGTCCATGGTGCAGGTGAGCAGCTGGCTGAGCGTGATGTCGCAGTGCATGTGTGGAGCGTGCGGTACCTGGCGGCTAGCTCGTCCATGGTGCAGGTGAGCAGCTGGATGAGAGTGATGTCGCAATGCATGTGTGGAGCGTGCGGTACCTGGCAGCCAGCTCGTCCATGGTGCAGGTGAGCAGCTGGCTGAGCGTGATGTCGCAGTGCATGTGTGGAGCGTGCGGTACCTGGCGGCCAACTCGTCCATGGTGCAGGTGAGCAGCTGGCTGAGCGTGATGTCGCAGTGCATGTGTGGAGCGTGCGGTACCTGGCGGCCAACTCGTCCATGGTGCAGGTGAGCAGCTGGCTGAGCGTGATATAGCAGTGCATGTGTGGAGCGTGCGGTGTCTGGCGGCCAGCTCGTCCATGGTGCAGGTGAGCAGCTGGATGAGAGTGACGTCGCAATGCATGTGTGGAGCGTGCGGTACCTGGCGGCCAGCTGGTCCATGGTGCAGGTGAGCAGCTGGCTGAGCGTGATGTCGCAGTGCATGTGTGGAGCGTGCGGTACCTGGCGGCCAACTCGTCCATGGTGCAGGTGAGCAGCTGGCTGAGCGTGATGTCGCAGTGCATGTGTGGAGCGTGCGGTACCTGGCGGCCAACTCGTCCATGGTGCAGGTGAGCAGCTGGCTGAGCGTGATATCGCAGTGCATGTGTGGAGCGTGCGGTACCTGGCGGCCAACTCGTCCATGGCGCAGGTGAGCAGCTGGCTGAGCGTGATGTCGCAGTGCATGTGTGGAGCGTACGGTACCTGGCGGCCAGCTCGTCCATGGTGCAGAAGAGCAGCTGGCTGAGCAATATGTCGCAGTGCATCTGTGCAGCGTGCGGTACCTGGCGGCCAACTCGTTCATGGTGCAGGTGAGCAGCGGGCTGAGCGTGATGTCGCAGTGCATGTGTGGAGCGTGCGGTACCTGGCGGCTAGCTCGTCCATGGTGCAGGTGAGCAGCTGGCTGAGCGTGATGTCGCAGTGCATGTGTGGAGCGTGCGGTACCTGGCGGCCAACTCGTCCATGGTGCAGGTGAGCAGCTGGCTGAGCGTGATATAGCAGTGCATGTGTGGAGCGTGCGGTGTCTGGCGGCTAGCTCGTCCATGGTGCAGGTGAGCAGCTGGATGAGAGTGACGTCGCAATGCATGTGTGGAGCGTGCGGTACCTGGCGGCCAGCTGGTCCATGGTGCAGGTGAGCAGCTGGCTGAGCGTGATGTCGCAGTGCATGTGTGGAGCGTGCGGTACCTGGCGGCCAACCCGTCCATGGTGCAGGTGAGCAGCTGGCTGAGCGTGATGTCGCAGTGCATGTGTAGAGCGTGCGGTACCTGGCGGCTAACTCGTCCATGGTGCAGGTGAGCAGCTGGCTGAGCGTGATGTAGCAGTGCATGTGTGGAGCGTGCGGTACCTGGCGGCTAGCTCGTCCATGGTGCAGGTGAGCAGCTGGCTGAGCGTGATGTCGCAGTGCATGTGTGGAGCGTGCGGTACCTGGCGGCCAGCTAGTCCATGGTGCAGGTGAGCAGCTGGCTGAGCGTGATGTCGCAGTGCATGTGTGGAGCGTGCGGTACCTGGCGGCCAACTCGTCCATGGTGCAGGTGAGCAGCTGGCTGAGCGTGATGTAGCAGTGCATGTGTGGAGCGTGCGGTACCTGGCGGCTAGCTCGTCCATGGTGCAGGTGAGCAGCTGGCTGAGCGTGATGTCGCAGTGCATGTGTGGAGCGTGCGGTACCTGGCGGCCAGCTAGTCCATGGTGCAGGTGAGCAGCTGGCTGAGCGTGATGTCGCAGTGCATGTGTGGAGCGTGCGGTACCTGGCCGCCAGCTCGTCCATGGTGCAGGTGAGCAGCTGGCTGAGCGTGATGTCGAAGTACATGTGTGGAGCGTGCGGTACCTGGCGGCCAGCTCGTCCATGGTGCAGGTGAGCAGCTGGCTGAGCGTGATGTCGCAGTGCATGTGTGGAGCGTGCGGTACCTGGCGGCCAATTCGTCCATGGTGCAGGTGAGCAGCTGGCTGAGCGTGATGTCGCAGTGCATGAGTGGAGCGTGTGGTACCTGGCGGCCAATGCGTCCATGGCGCAGGTGAGCAGCTGGCTGAGCGTGATGTCGCAGTGCATGTGTGGAGCGTGTGGTACCTGGCGGCCATTTCGTCCATGGTGCAGGTGAGCAGCTGGCTGAGAGTGATGTCGCAGTGCATGTGTGGAGCGTGTGGTACCTGGCGGCCAATTCGTCCATGGTGCAGGTGAGCAGCTGGCTGAGCGTGATGTCGCAGTGCATGTGTGGAGCGTGCGGTACCTGGCGGCCAATTCTTCCATGGTGCAGGTAAGCAGCTGGCTGAGCGTGATGTCGAAGCGGCGCGCGGCGGGCAGCGGCGGCGGCGCTGGCGTCAGGTACTCGTCGCCACTGCTGCTAGCGCCCGACGCACCCGACGCTCGCCGCGGCTTCATGCTGCGCTCTGCCTGCACCCACCACCAAGTGTCCCCGTCAAAACAGCAACATATCACACTTACTCTAATAACAATAATAACTCAAATGCAAATGGCGGTGCTCCAAGATACCTCCCGCATCGTCCACTGACTTATTTCTCTTTCTCCCTTACCCTCGACCGCTGATCTTCCCTACTGAGGGTTTTCATATGGTTGGATTTTTATTATTTATGTATTATTTATATATTTATTTCCTTTATTGATGTAGATTTATATATATTCATCACTTTCATTTATATATTTATAAAACCTAACCAGAAGAAAAAACTAAAAAATAGAATAAAAATTATAATGTCGTCCAGACCGAATTTCGGAAGAAACTAGTACAACTGCGCAGGACATTATTACAGTGCCCCATTGGATCAAGCACACGTGAACTCTCTATCCCCTCACTCTCATAGTCCGATGGGACGGTAAACCGACACGACTAGAGAGACCGCCCAACTTCCCGACTTCGAGCAGCTGCTAAGAATTTCGTAACAGAAAAACAATGTGTTTTGTGGCCGACATGATATTCGAACCTGGCACCTCATTATCAGCAGTCGCGTTTACGACGACTAGAACAACGATGCAGTCACCCACTCCAATATAGAATGATTGACCCACGATTCTTTCTGCCATCAAGGTCAGGTTGACGCCCCTTTGGAAAAAGAGGTGAAATATTCGACAGATTTTATGGCAGGGGAATTTAATTCGTTATAAACAAAGACTTCTATTTTTTTTTTAATATATAAAATAATGGTAACAAACGAGCACAAAGTCCACCTGATGCTTAGTGGATACTGTGGCCCATAGATATCTACATTTATCTTAGATTAGGAATCAAAATATAAATGCCATGTTACCCCTAAGTACTAAGATGGAAAGTAAAAAGGGTCTCCGGTTTACAACACTCACCATACGAAACACAAGAATTAAGCTGCTATTTGAAGCTGGTTTTCCGTGAAAGCATTTTCCTTCCCCGGTCGAGCGAACCCGTTTGTGCTACAAATATAATATAGCTGCAGCATGGCTCTACCACGTAACGTAAACATAACAAGGTTAATTCTCTGTAACTTCTTATTCTGTCGAGTCGGACGAGAAGACTAGTTCTTTGTTTTGTAAACAGCGAACGTCGTATTAGACAATCTCACAGTAATTTTGTTTAATGTGACTAAGAGAACGCTCTCATTATATATGTGCGCACTTTGTCAATGTGCTTTGAAGTTTATTACAGATAAGTGTGTAACTTTAATTTGTATTTGCTTAAAAACAGTAACTGTCGTAAATGAAAATACAACTGAGTGGCATATTTACCATGCCATATCATATATTATTTACCATACCATATATTATTTACCATACCATATATTATTTACCATACCATATATTATTTACCATACCATACTCGCCTGCATGATCCACAGCTATGACAAAGGCAATTCAGACCAAAAACTGTATAATTTTCTGAATTACCGGTCTAGTAGCACATAGAACTCTTTCCAGTCTGCTCATCAAGGTAAGAGGTAATAAGGTTGACAAATGAGTGAGTGGGATTAGTCACGACGAGGATAGTGCATGCAATTGAGGGAGGGCGAGAGCTGCTCTTCAAATTGGGTAAGTCACATCAATTACGTGGATGTTAGCCAATTATTTTTTAACATCTTATAATGGATTTCCGCAAAGTAACGCCTGATTCTGTTAATAAACTAATGATATTTCTTATAGAAGAATTATAAAATTTGTGAAAAAAATTAAATAACACAGCTCTGAAGCATTGTTTTGTGTATAAACATACACCAGGAACCAAAATACTTTTATTAAAAAGGCCACTTTTCAATGATGATGAAACTGTGAGACCTCTGTGTGACAAATAACCTCAGTCTGGTGATCGTATGATTATTAGCTCTCATTGGGTGTCATTTGGTTCGTCTTAACCCTTCAATCTCTAAGCGGTCGAATTCGACCGCAGCGCTATTCCGTCAAAATTCAAGCGGTCGGATTAGACCGCACCACAGCAGCACTTTAAACCTTTAAAACTTATATTTAAAGACTACTTTTCTAAGAAGAAAATTAATAATTATAAAATTAATATGAAACTTTCTATACTCTAGTGCAATAAAAAACAATTATCCTATGGATATTTATTTATAATCTACGTTCATTTCGTACGCCATTTTCGCGTGAATGTTATTGTGTTCATTTTTGGATTTTTCTAGTGTTTTATTAGTGTTTTAGTATAATGTTTTATTATAAAATTGTAATGAAAGTTTTTGTGTGAATATAATTTATCTTTTTACGTAAATAATTAGGAGAAGAGTAATATATATTAAAATAATTGTGAATTTCACGCTGCCGACATTCGTTTGGTATGTTTTGTTTTTGTTATCAAAATACAATAGTCTTTTTGTAATGAGGTAAAACCTGACTATTATATAGAGAATTTTGTATAGATTTTATAATGCCAAACTTCTTTGTGGAAAAGTAGTCTCTAAATATAAGTTTTAATGGTTTAAAGAGCTGTGGGTGAGTGCGTTCGCATGCGACCGCTCGGGATTTGACGGACACATGCGACCGCATGGGAATTTTAGGGGGACTGAGGGGTTAAGGCAGCGTCTTATGGCTCTAATTGGGTGACATTTGATTTGTGTTATCATAAGGGGAATATTTGCTACAGTTGCCACGCACTTGCAACAACACGACACGTTTAAACTGCACTGTAACATTTAGAACCCATACTATGGAACCCTGTTCTTTTCGTCTATATTATAGAACAAGCGAAATTTAATGAAGTTACGCATACGAAAGAGATAAAGAAATCGTACAGCGAACGTCGCACTCGCCAGCCAGAAGTGAGAAACTGTTTTAGTAAAACTGAATCTTATCTCAAAAGTCTAAAGCTTTCACTTACTACTTAGGAAAATAACTGAAATTGAATATTATGTTAAACACTCAGGCTTTGATTTAAAAAGTTAAAAAAATCTAATTTTGCTCAAGCCCCCGTGTAAAAATAGGTAATGGTATCATTTCGACCGAGATGCATGCCGAGGGAGGCAAGCCGGTTTTAGAACATACTGCGTTCTCAATTCGTCCACAATTTATCAGGCGAAAAAACGCCTTATACAACATACCAACGGTTCCCTTTTCCTTGCAGGCCGCGGTAGAGGAGGGCCGGATTCCGAAGTTTCCTCGCTCTCATGCTCGAGGTCATGTGTAAGGCGAGATGAAGGACGTGATAAGTAAATCTCTCCAAATTTCTTCGGCGGCAACGGGGGCGGAGAAATTTTTTCCGCATTCAACTTTGAACTGGGCTGCGGACGCTGCCGTATTGTGCTCGTATCCGTCATCTGTATATGAATTTAAATCTTGTTAGTGTACAATCGCTATATATCTAGGACGATGGATATATATAATTTTTTTAGACGGTGTGGTAAGGGGTCAATTTCAAAAGTCCAAATTTTAATATATCACCTGTTATAAGGTGCCTAAAGTCTAGTTTACTTTAAAAGATGTCTGTGCGTGTACGTTAGTACATTTGTATGGTCAAACTTCAGTGAACTCTTTTCGTTTTGTATATCTCGAGAACAAATTATATCGACTCCAAGTCAATTTTAATTAAATTTAAATTAATTCAGTAGTATTTCATTTAAAAATAAAATGTGTGGAATTTAAAAAGTTAAATTACATGCGATAAAATCTGTAAAATTAGTTTTATTACTGGACCGAGTCACCCTAGTAAACTATAAAGAAAAGAAAAAAGAAACATTTATTGCCGGAGTACGCCACATATTAGAAAATTATATGATACTACAAATAATTTAAAAAAAAAGTAATATATAAACAAAATTTAAGTGCATAATATTGAGCAATCATTATGTAATTTTTATATAGCTCATTAAATATACGCACTGGTTTAAGATTACGAAGCGGTGGCGGTAGGTTATTCCACAACTTCAAATGTCAAACATGATAATACTCATGTAATTTTAAATGGGGAGGAGCTGAGTTTTGTCTTGGAGCATTTTTCTTGGAATCACATTAGACGCAAAGCTTCAATGGGACCCCATATACAAAGACTAGCAAGCAGATTTAGTTCTGCTGCATACACTGTTAAAAAGATTAGAAGTCCTACCAGTGTTGCAACAGCTAGACTAGTTTACTTTAGCTATTTTGATAGCATAATATCGTATGATATTTTGCTATGAGGACACGCGACAGACACTGAAATTTTATTTGTTTTACAGAAGAGGGCCATAAGAGTAATCTATGATTTAAAATCTAGTCACTTAGACAAAATTTTAGGGAAATTAACCTATTAACTTTGGCCTCTCAATACATTTATGAAAATGTAATGTACTTACACAAAAACTAAAGTAGTTTTACAAAAATAAGTGATTTTTATTCTGTAAATACTAAGAACATACACAAGTTATTAGTAGTGCCAATTACTCGACTACACCGAGTCAGTTATTTATTCTTGGGGCGATGTATACGCTTTTAGAACAAAATTCCAGTTTAAAAACAAAAAATTTATTAAACTAAGTATGTATAAAAAGGATTATTACAATATTAAGAAACTTATGGATTATAATAGCCCTTGGGAATGAGGTGATCGCTACCAAGCTATTTCTAATTTGTTTTGTGTTGATTAATTGTGTAACAAACATGATTGTTAAGTACGATTGTAAGCTGTTATCTCAAAAAAAGTCCCGCAGGTTTTTCCCACGAAAGAAGTTTTTCCCTAATCAAAATAGTGACTTTCAATAATTATTATTTAAAATCTATATCCTCTCAATCCCTAGCGGTCTCATGAGATCGCGGCTATATTCCGTCAAATTCCTAGCGGTCTCATGAGGTCGCACCCACCCACAGCACTTTAACCCATAAAAAGTTATATATGGACACTACTTTTCTATGAAGAAGTTTGGCATTATATAATCAATATGAAATACTCTATTCTCTAGTGCAATAAAAAAAACTGTTATCCTATGAATATTTATTTATAATCTACGTTCATTTTGTACGCCATTGTCACGTGAAAATATTTATTTATAATCTACGTTCATTTCGTACGCCATTTTCGCGTGAATTTTATTGTGTTGAATTTTGGGCTTTTCTAGTGTTTTATTAGTGTTTTAGTATAGTATTTTATTATAAAATTGTAATTAGTTTTTGTGTGAATATAATTTATCTTTTTACGTAAATAACTTCGAGTAATATATATTGAAATAATTGTGATTTTCACGCTGCCGACATTCGCTTGGTATGTTTTTTTTGTTATCAAAATACAATAAAATCTTTTTGTAATGAAGTAAAACCTGACTTTTGTTTAGACCACAAGATAGACAATTTTGTATAGATTTGTAAACTAAAAGTAGTCTCTAAATATAAGTTATAATGGTTTTAGGTGCTGTGGGTGGGTACGGTCGCATGCGATCACTCGGGGTATGGTGGGCACATGCATGGGATTTTTATGGCACTTGAAGGGATATTGAATAAAAAAGTTTCTGTATCTGTTCTGTATGTGTAACAAAGTTCAAAAATTTTAATAAACTAGGTTTGTATAAAAATGGTTATTATAATATTAAGGAATTTATGGATGATAATAACCCCTGGGAAGGGTGATCGCTACCAAGCTATTTCTAATTTGTTTTGTTTTGTTAATTGTAACATACAAGATTGTAAGCTCTTATTTTTTTTAAAAATTGTCCTACTGGATTTCTTGCTAGTTCTTCCCAGGACAGAAGTTTTTTTTTTGCGAACCAGTGGTAATGAAAAAAGTGACTTTCAATAAGTATTATTTATGATCTATATTGAATAAAAAAATTTCTGTTCCTGGTTTTGTTTCTGTTTCTGTTTCATACATTTGGAGGCGGCGTACACTAAACTTCCATGTATGATATGACGAGGAAATAAATAGACTAGTAATCTTGAATACACGTCTTTTGACTACACCGATCTTCGAAAAAGATAACACTATGTTTTACTATACCAAATAATCGTGCTACTAAGACATAATATTGACTGTATTTCATTTTCAATCAACGTGCAAGTAGTACTGTATTGATTGATGGCTCAGGATCCAAGTTTCTTGTATGTAGTCTAGGCCCAGGGAAAGACAATGTTTAGCAGTGTATTTATGAAGAGCGGCAATGATGATAATGACGATGATAGTGTTATAAAATATAATAAGAACCCATTACTATACCTGTCTCTGCATTCTAGGCGATTTCGGTGCGGGTTCCGGCGGTAGAGTAACTTGAAGTGGTCCGTTGAAGACGTTTTTTCCACTATCGAGACCGATCTCAGGTTTATCCAACGTTACATCTTTGCTTAATTTCGACTTCGTGTCGTCCATTCGCAATAGACCAGGTTTCGGAAACTCGGACATGCCCGTGAACGGATCTTCTTTGAATGTATCTGAGAACGGATCCGTGTTATCGAACGGATCGGTCTCCGCGAACGGGTCCGAAGTGAAAAAGCCCCCTGTATACATTGGCGGTTGGGACGGCTTTGCGACGGCAACCGAGCCGCCGGACTGCCGAGTCAGTGACGTCATCGTGGTTGTCGGGCCGTAACCGTCGCTGTTGGGCTCGGTGGTCACCGGGACTATATCGGATAGGAGCGTATGCGTGGTCGGTACGAGGTCTTTGAGTACTTTCTTTGGTGGATTTTTGAGCTCCTGAAAGAAGAGTTTTTTGTCAACGTAAGGTTTACTCCGGCCGGTGCCGAGAGGGTCTAGTTCGGTGAATACGTCGTAAGTGATCGACGAAGTCGTGGACGTTGCGGGCTGGGTCACCTGTAACACAGGTATTCTCATGACAATCCTCGACGGTCCTTGTGCTGTGCTACAACACAGAAGGAAGAAACAACGGGAAGGTCGCACAACATTCTAATCTCGCCGGGTCTCAGCAATCGGGAAGTGACGAAACATGCTTTATGGAGATAAGCGAAAGGCGAAAGGACATGTGTGTACTTTTTTTAAATTATTTACATGTAACAAGTAACACAAGACACGTCACATAGTCACTACAGAAAGCACAGAGGACTCCAACCAAAGGTGAAATTAAAAATAAAATAATAAGGCGGACAATTTGGCCTTCAGTTTTGACTCAATCCATAGCATAAAGTGCACTGCCATAGTAAGCATCGGACGGACATTTCGACAACTCATCCTATATTCTAATATTCATGCAGTAAGATCAAATTTATCTTTAGTCTCATAGGAATAAATAGATACAAAGAAATTAATAAAACTTCCGGATTGTTAAATTTAAAGTAACACTGAAAAAAGTTGAAAATTAGTCGGTAGTTTTTAAAAAGTAAGTTTATGTATAAAGTTCAGTGTCAAAATGAAAAAAAAAAATACTGCAGGTGTGTGGAATCATATTCGACATCATGGATGCTTATTGGTAAAAATTTAAATATCAACCCTGTGATGTATTTATTTATTCCATAACATCTCACAAATACTAGTGCAGTATACAGTAAACATTAGAATAAAAATACTCACAGGTGGGTCAGGTACGTTTTCGACTAGTGGTAGGGAGGCGGGTTTGGGTTCGAAGTCACCGGCAACTGCGCTCAAGTCGAACGACAGCGTGGAAGGCTTGTTTGGACTAAAAGTTGTCCTGGCTGGAGTACTGCGGCCACGACTCGTCGCGCCCGGTGGCGGAGGGATGAGACCCTTCTGTAATAAATGGTCTTTCTTGAAAATAAGATGCGAAAATTCCAACACGACTCTAAACAAGAGAAAGCGGATAGTGTTTCCGCCGAATAACCGGCAAGTTGAGGACAATGGCGAACTCCCAAACAAATTTCATGTGCCTTTTTTTCTTGCGTCTACAAATGCAAAATATGTAAAAATATAGAGTTTAAAATCCTGAACATTTTTTTCTTCGGTCATACTACTGCAGGAAGTCAGGAATTGAAGATATTCCAGTTTAAACAAAATACACATCAGACTAGGCTGTATGGTACAAAACGCCTTAATTGGCAAATCGTTACAACAACAACTAGTCAATATAATTTTCATATATGTTTATGTAGGGTAATTACTAGCATAGAGGGAATCCTTAAAGAACGCATTAGTATTTATAGAAGTTTTTCTGAATAAAATACGCGTCAAACTCGGCTGTATGGTATAAGACCTTTGCCTGTCTTAACTGACGTATCGTAACAACTACAACAACTAGTCAATTAAGTTTTGAATTGTGAATGATGACTTTTTTTCAGACTTCGATAGGCCATAAGCTTGATTAGATAATACATAGTAAATTATTTTATTGATATCTGTAATGGTGACATAAATAAATTCTTTCAAAAAAATTTTTTTTTTTTTGCTGGGTGGACACTTAATAATTCCATCAGCAATTTGCCACAACAACTAGTAAATTTTTTCATCGGGCCTTGTATTATTTTATTGATGTCTGTAATGGTGACATAAATAACGCTTAATAATTCCATCAACAATTTTCCACAACTAGTAAATTTAGTTTTAAATTAGGTAAGATGATTATTTTTTTCAAACTTCGATAGGCCATAAACTTGATTACATAACACAAAGTAAATTATTTTGTTGATACCTGTAATGGTGACTTAAGTAGACGCTTCACACCATCACATATTTTGTCATTGTCCTTTACAACAACTTGGGCTGAATAGTTGGGCATATTTTGACTACAAATTATGTCAGAAAATAATAAGGTATGAATATGGTATGTATACGTACATGGCGTACGATTAGGTATGGATATGTACGGCTACTTAATAGTACTAAAGTACACAGATACAGCAGTGCCTATTAAATGTAGACAATATTGTATAATTATATTTTGAACAAAACGTTAGGATTCCCCCACACTAGGATGTTTTACTGTATTGTGGAGGCAGTTTTATATACATAAATTGCATAATGACCAACATCCAGACCCGAAACAATTATTTGCAGGCCATACTAAAACTAACACCGCGCGAATTATGAACCAACGGCCTTCAAAGCGACATCTCAATGCTAAGCCAATGTTTCACGGAGCCGTTAATAATATATCCAGTTTGTAAATAAGTTACATAACGGATGGTCACACGTGGATCGACCTTAACAATTTCTTCTATTTTTTAACGTATTCTTGCGTAGCGGACGTGTTGGCTGCCTGAAGCGAGTGTCGTCGTTGCAAGCGGTTTTGTCGCGTTTAAATTCAGCGCAACACCAGTATGCCACCATAGAATAAAACGGAGCATTGTATACCAAAGTATTTCTTGAAAAACATTTTTGTAGAAATTTTTTCGCACATTTCAGACAATAATATTTAATAAATGCATGAAGTTCGTGTTACTTGATGTGTGTCCCGCCAAATATGAAGTTTAAAAAAAATTGGGTAGTTTTTATTTTGGTTTTTGTTTGGCCTTGGCTACTAACGACTTTAAGTTTAGAAAAACATAGGACGCATTTCTATAAATCATTGATAAGTTTCATATTCCGAAAACTAGTATTGACTTACCGGCGAAGGAGCCAAAAACGAGTCGCCGAAGGGATCCGTAGAGGGTGTCAGTCCCTCCACTTGTGTGAGTCCCCTCCTCAAGGAGCAGAGCTCTTGTTCAAGGTCAACGAGTTCCGCAACCCCCCCTCCCGCCCCACTTTCTGATCCCTTCGCCGTCACTGCGCTGGTTTCACCCACCGACGATAGACTCTATAAGTTAGTGACAGTACAGGCTCAATCCAGATAATGAATGAAGATGATTAATAAGTACAGAAGATAATTTAAGGATTGGACATATCGGGTAAAGTTTTTGTTGCTTCTAACCCGTTTACTACACCACTTCACAAAATCGTGAAATAACAAACGAAAATTTGATGACTTCATATTCGACGCATTCAAGACATTTGTAATGTAAACTAATTGGTTTAATCGACAAGCAAACAAGATATCAAGCCAAGCAAATCACATTCTTTTTTTCGTGTATTAATTATAGTTTATTAGCATCTATTAACGTACAAATAAACTTGATTGATTTGTCACTAGCTGTTACAAAACAATCAATCAAAATAACGGTTGGATTTCATGGGTTTAGATTTTTTCGTGCAGAACCCTAATTGTTTTTCGAAAATAAAAGTAGCCTAAGTTTCTCCTTATGACATCAGCTATTTTCTAGTGAATGTCCCGTCTAATTCAGTTCAGCCATTTCAGAGATTAGTCGGAACAAACAGATAGATAGACAAAAAAATTTAAAATTGTTTTTTTTTTTGTTATTAGTACAGTATATACATTCATATGCATTTAGTAAAAATATGATATTTTGAAATTACAAACAGTCACTTCAATTTTATTTTTTTGTATAGATATCAAATTAATAATATTTGTTGATCCTCTTTTTACCCGACTGCTCTAGAAGCATAGTTTGAAGAATGTTTTTCGAGCGCATATAAGTATATTTCTTCGGCACACTCTCTAGACTAAACGGCTTAATGGATTTTAATATAATGTGTATATAGAATATAATATTTGAAATTTTTATTTTGCAGCAGACTTACGTAGTCAATATTTAAAAAAAAATCTTTCTTAACATTAACCTTGTTATTTAAATGTCGAACTAATATCTCATCGACATTTTAGGTGTGCTATAAAACTAAAAGAATACTCATTAATATTAAATAATATATCAATATACAGACCAATGATTGCATCGTTTTTCAAATAATTTTTTTCGATCTTAATCAATAATTAACACTTAGTTATACCTCTTGTAGCTTTACATATTTAAGGCAATATAATAATAATTTAAACAGAAATACTAAATAATAAAGTTTACCAGCATGAAAATACTGTAAGACGAGGTATTTTAGTAAAGGTTATAAATTTAATTGCTGACAAATTTGAAAGAATTTTCATCTCACCTTAGTCCTATTAAAAAATGAAAACTTAGGAGAGTGCAGCAACCGCTTCCTGGACATCGTTTACACAACTAACACGACACTGTCTTATAAGAAAATCAATATGTCTTAATCTGCACTCAGTCGATATTTATTGAGGCATGAATAACTCAATGTTTAATATAACATTGCGATATATCACCGTTCCGCACAAACAAATTCCTTTAAATAAGTGTCACAGTACAGCCGGTACTGCGAAACTACGTTAGGAGAAGAAAATTTCGCTTACGTCACCGTACAACGCTTGGCGCTTGCGTATTATCGGGGACATCCATTGCCAGCGGTCAATGTAAATCAAACGAATCGAAGTACTCAAATTTTTCAAGGCAATCTATGATATCATCAAGAAATCCAACGCTGAAGAAATAATGTCTACAGCATTTACCGAGACTAGATATGCGCCTATTGCTCAGCTATATTACGATTAGTGTTTGCGGTAACAAGGCTAGACTAGATTTTGAATTTTCCGTTAAAAAATGACTCGTTGTGAATAGTTATGTTTCCCTGGCATACTCCTCTATTTTTCTTTAGTAACGATCGGTGAAACGTTTTAAAAATTGAACTCATGATCAAATTTAGCAACAGTCTAAACTTTTTAATATAGAGAACAAGAAAAGAAAACTAATCTATGAACCTACATTTTCAATTTATTTTGATTTATAATCAAAATAACGTTTCAAAGTATGAAATAGTAGAACAATCACTAAATTATAAACACTTATACGTGGTAGAGCCACGCCGCAGCAATATTATCGTTGTAGCACGAAAGGGTCGGCTCGACCGGGAAAGGATCACGCTCTCACAGAATACCAACGTAAAATAGCAGCTTAATAGTGCTTTCGCATGGTTAGTGTAGAGATCCGGAGCCGGGTAAGCACGCATCTGCATTTTGATTCGTAATCGAGGATAAATGTAGATGTCTACGGGCCACAGCAACCACTTACCATCAGGTGAACTCTATGTTCGTTTGTCACCCGCATTCTATAAAAAAATACTAGGTCGCAAAGGGAAACATTAACCAACGCAGTACAACACCAAAAATATAACTATATAGCAGTGTTCCTAAATTGTAAAGCGCACTTGCTCACTCTTGCCTTGAATAATAATAATAATAAATTTTATTGCCTCTAAAACACACAGTTATATTGACGTTAAAACAAAAGAAAACTATAGTTATTTGAGACAAAAGGAGACGGCTCAGCTTTGTCTGTAACGAGATACAGATCTCATACAGAGCTGTTTTTCAGCCGCTCCCTCCTGCCTAAGGTAATGTGCGGGAGTCCAAAGTAACAGGCTCGCCATTTACCTGACTTATACTTTTAAACTATGTACAAAGTAATTAAATATGATAAAATCGCAATAACAAAAAAAAAAGATTAAAAACATTAAAGACAAAATGAATACACTTTACGTGGGTATCAGATGTGTCAGCCAATGTGATAAATCAGATACAAAGAGAGACACTGGCAAATTCTTCAATTCTATTGCTGTACGCACTACGAAAGCCAAAGGTAACCGATGTACGTCGACTCAATACGCACGAGCGCCGGGCGTCTTAAACCATGATGAAAAGTTCACACAAGTCCTAAGCACACTCTACTAAATGCATTCTATATAATATCGACTACGCCTGTGATTAAGACTGACAAGGTTAAACGAATCAGGTAACCTCGATATGCATTTTAACACCTTGCCTTTTGAATGAACCAAAACTGCTTGGTAGCATTTTACAACACCAGCCAATGAGCCTGACAGTGGTACTCCACATACGGCCTAACTTGCGCTTTTGCCAAATTGCCTCTTCTAAAGAATTTAACTTTGCTTTTCATAAGAATATGCCAGAATCGGCATATTTGTAATCGGATAGACCAACGTGGCAACACAGAAGAGTCAAATGACGACGAATATTTCTACAGTTTAAGAGCCTGTGATAAGTGAGCAAGCACTTCTTCAAATTATTTTTCATTAAAATGTCGTTGGTTCGTAATTGATCTTTTTAAGGATATTTGCTCGTTTTAAGGATACTGCAGCAATGTTATTCTTTTTTAGTCAAGTAACAAGCTTAAGTACTTCAGCCGAACTATATAATTTCCGAATGAGTTATAAATGGAGCATGATACTCTTATATTTCTACTCTCTGCAATTGTTAACATACCTTAGGTTTAGTTTCAGTAACTGTACTGTTGTGCCTGACGAGACTGTTAGTAACAGATTTGCCTTCGAGCTGCTGCTTGGCCATCTCCACCTCTTTCTTCTTCAGCTCAAAAACTACTTGGAAAAGATCCCTCATTGCTATTACGACCTGCAAATGTATATTATGTTGTTTCTAATTCCACCGTGTGGGGGGCAGCTAAAAATAAGTAACTCAAATTGTGCGTATCGTATGACGCGACTATGGGAAATTCCCAGATATATCTCGTAGCTAACGATGGATAACATCTCGTTTTTGCCAGACGTAACATATCCAGTCCGGCGACGAGGTGTAGCGTCTAAGATGCGAGATGACCGATATTGCAATCGCCGATTCGCCTTTCAAGTGAGTATTAACTTTTAAATTTTTTTTACAGATGTTTACTTAATTAAAAAGTCTTATATTAAGTATGTTTTCAAATTTCATACAAGTTAGAAAACTACGACTGACTTAACTATTCTTATTAAATGTGAACCTATGTTACTTCTTTTAATTCCAATTGTCACGTCTTTGTAAAACTAAACTGCTTGACAGACAAACAGAAGATTACAGTATCATCTTAAAAACGCTACCCGTCGACGCACTCAGCATTTTCACTTTTGACTTGGTAAATACGAGACAATAATTCCGCATTCTGTTCGAAAACACACAATGGGCCGGCCATTGCCACTTCAGCTTTCTGATTCATTGGACTATAGCGGTTAAAATCTGGTTCTACTGCAGATGTCCCTCATTACGAAATCTATCACGCAAAGAAACTCCGAGCATAGCCCTCTCCATAGTTCCCTTAGTTACCAGTGAAGGATTAACGTCTCAGATCCATACGTCATAGTTGGTTTTACACTATTGTTTATATTTGTATGGTATTTGATGGTGTATAATATTAAAATAAAAATGCCCGAAGCTAATTCTAAATACTCTTAACCTCTTTGGAATTTAAGGCATTTCGTTTTATGATTATAATATGCACCCAATTGTTAATTTTCCACTTACTTGACTAGCAGCTTTATCTGTCTTGATGCCGAAAAATCGATGACCCGTGTCCGGAGAACCAAATATATATCCAAACGCCCTGGAGTCTGTCATGTCTTGCGCGATAAATGATATCTTGTGCACCGGGTGGTGGTACAGGGAATCCTGGAAGAGACACTGCTTTGAAGTTTTATACAAACAAAATATTTGTCACGTTTTTGTTTACGTGCGGATCAAACCGCGACAGTTATTTTAGTTATATGTACAGGGTTATTTTGCAATAACCGGCAAAATTTGCAGAGAAGATAGAGAATAAGTAATATAAACAAATTGTGAATAAAAAATCATTAGAAAAAATCTCAAACATTATCTTTTAAAATCAAAATGCGTGGTTATGCATTTTAACTGATTTTACTGCGCACGCACACATTCGATTATAATATGTCGATCGGTAGGCAAAAATGTTGTTGCCCATAAATCACATTCATTTTGGGATAATTTCAAATAAAAATAGAAGCCTTATTTACTAGTATTTTCAAAAACTTCAATTATGTTATGTCATTATTTATAATTTTTGAACTTAAGTATAAAATTTGGCTAATCTTTGAAATATAACCCTGTATAAGTAGACAGCGGATTACTTTAGAAAATTATCGATGGGATGGAAATCGAACAGTATATCGTGAAAGCAACACAGCTCCTTCGGATTGGTATGTTATATTTCTTCGTGATTCAACCACTCTGCAGTTGTGTTTTGTCTACGCTACGAATAGTTCGGTTTGACTTAAGAGGAACCAAACGTGTACAGCGTACTAGAATAAAATAAAGAGGCGGCTAGGCGTGAGCGATGTGGGCGATCGCCTACGACCTCGCACTCTAAAAGTTCATAAAAATATTCATTTTTCTACTAACACGCGTCCCACAATACGTCTTAAATTTGTAGTTTACTTTAAAATTGGGAACAGTAATATCTGCGGACATATACACAAGCACATAGGACATTTGACATACAGACAAGTATATATCTAACACAGAATTTCCCATCAACATTTGATGAGTCAATTAGATTGCTCCGAGTTACAATGAAGTAGTCACCTTGGTATGCATCATATTTTAATGAGTTGCATCATAGCACTAGGGACAAATTCAATTTGAAGTTGTTTCTAGTGCTATGATGCAATTCATCTAAAAAGTTCGTGTGGTTAGCGAAGTAGAATAGCATGCAGATGTCGTGACAGACAATTTAACAACAGCTCTGTTTATTCAGTGCTAGCGCGGCCCATTAGTTGTAAATAAATTAAGCTACATAGCTGGCGACAAGATACTTTGAGTAAGAGAAAGTGAAAATTTCGTTCGATATTATCTCAGAATAATGAATTAGTTTAGAACGGGTCTCCAATCCCCAGCATCTAAAAAACGACAAGGTACCTGGTAAGGATAGAATTACAACAGAGATTTTTCATGTGAACGGAGAATCAATAATTAATGTCTTTTAGGAGCTATTATAATATCGTTGATATCTTCATCTATGGGAATAAATACAACAAACATCGTTGATATCTTCATCCATAGGAAACCATTAGAAAGGGATATATTTTGTAAGTTATTTCCTATGCCTTTATTTTTTTTAATAATTTTAGTATGAGTTCTAGAATCATGTAAACAATGTAAATCGCACAGTGGTTTCGGTTTCACCGGTGGTTAAAAAGATTTAGGTGTAAAATTTGTCAAATTTTACACCTAAAGCTTTTTCAACACCGCTTCGACAGCTTCGAGACATCGGTGATGTCGTCTAATATATCACAATAAATGCGCAATGGGCCGGCCATAGCTCGAAGAACCGACAATTCTTGGAGAAGATAGGTTCCCGAGTGGTAGTCCATGGTGAAGCTGAACAAGGTGACCCCCCCATACTAAGTGGAGGCCGAACGACTAGATAAATATATACAGGATGTTGATATATTCAGGTGGCTCAAGACCGTGACAGTCGTTGCGAAGGCTTATGTTCAGCAGTGGACTAGTGATGCGTTGCAATAGAATCTAAATACTATTATGAACGCCAGGGGCCTCGCGAAATTCATCTTGCCCACACCTAATTTAATAAGTCTTGCTCCGCCTCTGGTAAAATAGCAGCATTACCTATGTGCTGGTGTTGTGAAATTTCATACTTGTGGCGCCACTTATAGTCAACCAAATCTAAGAAATTATACCTTTTGACGTTTCACATTAATCATTCCGCAATAACTTTGCACAAGCGTCCTTACACGATTTAAAATAACCGTTTACGTAAATCCGAAGAATTATAAAGTTATCTATTTTTCATAACAATGTGTATGTATACCTTTTATCACTAATTTAAGTTCGAATCTTTCAAACAAAGCAAAATATTTAAAAAATAACCAGTATCAAATTTTTCACTGGACATCGTTTCAATATGTCGCTATGTACCTTACCGTAGTGTTTGGATGATTGAAATTCATTGTTATGCGAATAATCGGCAAAAATATTCAAATAATCGGTAAAAATATTCAAATAATCATTCAAATTCATTCATTTTTAAATGTCCTTTACGTTGACAAAGTAAAGAAATAAACTTTTTTAGATTAGATTTTCGGGCCCACTAGACATTATAACCTAACTTAGTGGTAATACCACAAAAAAAGATACCAATTTACTATAGTAAAGGGCCTAAATATTTTATAAAAATCTAACCGGAATCATGAAATCTGAAAAAAATTGTTTTGATATTCTTGTACTGGGTGATGTAAATATATTAAATAATAAAAAGGTAAATATTTTTGAAAATGATAACTTAATATATACATATTATATTATGTATTTTTATATTATATATTTATTACTAAAAAGAAATACCACTAAAACTTGTTTTTAATCCGATTTCTAAAAATTAATAGTAATATCATGTAATATGGTTCAGAGTGACCGTAGAACGAAACGTATTAATACCCCTATTTTGTCATTGAGTTCCGGGTAGTCGGGTACGGGTACGGGTATTACTATACGGCATTGATGTTCGTCACGTTGCTGTTTTTTTGTATTTATTTACTCATCTTCTTCATCATATAGCATTATCAGTGTATAGATATTTTTTTTGTATTTATTTACTCATCATCTTCATCATACAACGTGTACATAAGTAATTTTAATTGTTAATTTCTCAGTATTCCTATTAGATACGGTAAAACTAATATCACTATTGTAATCTATAGATTATAGGGAATAAAGCGACATGCATTTCATTAAGTTAGGCCACAATTCATGGTAGGCCCATTCTGCATACAAAAAAATTGTTTCCTTTCTGTAGGCAAAAAACTCATATACAAGGCCTGCGCCGCGCTGAGAAAACCACTACGTAATTTCAATCTCCCACCACTTCGGGAGCTTACTGTGTGTAATTTTGTGATTTTGTGTTTGTCTTCTTATTTTGTGACTCGGCTTTAACTTCTGTTTCTTCTATATTCGTTAAATTATGTGCCCATGACGCAAAGGATGATTGGGCAAGTGGTAGAAATAACAAAAAAAAAATTGATTATGAATGACTTTGAAAGAGACATTAATTTTGACTGAATTATTAAAAATCAAATAATAATTAATCTAAACAACGACAGCTCAACTAGTTTTACTGAAAGTAATTGAATACATTTATTTTTCATCTAGTTTCAATCTTAAATTTTATACCTTTGCCTCTAGAAAAAAGCAGTAACAACAAATACGAAGAAACGGATAAATCTTGTGATTTAAATTATCCGTTTTTAATTTATTCTGGTATTATTCAAACCAAACTGTAAATGATTACCAACTCTAAATAATCGATATCGATTTTTTTAGGAATCGAATATTGTACGTTCCCATTTTTTGGTTGGCATACTTGGTGCAATAAGTCTGACAGCTGTCAAAATGTATTTCTTAGATTTGGTTGACTATAATGAAGTGTAATATTTGACAGATTTCATAGCGGAGAATTTCATTTGTTCGAAAAATGCAAAGGTTATTTCTTTCTGTACTACTAGTTACATTTTATATTAATTAGATCAAAAATTAATTCATGATAGAAGAAAAATTAAAAAAAGAGTTAAAAATGTGCAAAAAAATTAAAGAGCGAACAACCAACGAATTGTTTTGTGTATTAATATTTAAAACTAACTTCTCAATTAAATGACATTATGTAACAAGAAACTTTACCTCAGTGTCAACTATCGACATCTGATGAGCGGAATATAATTAGTCTTCATTTGCAACGCATCTGCGTTTTTAATTTTGACCATGAGTAAAAATAGGTATCTTTCGGGCCACAGCCCCCACTTACCACCAGTTGAACTGTGCGCTCATCCTTGTATACTAAACTAGCGAATTTTTAAACGTAGGTAGCGTTTTAAAATTCGCTAATTGAAATATTTTCATAATTTAAGCTTGGTGTTGCACTAAGACTATATAAATTCTATTATAATAACGGTTGAAATGAAGTATTTTAGCTTATAATAATGGTTGTATTCGACCTGAAAGAAAACTCTGATGCATATTTTCGTAAAACGCTACGGAGGGATTGTCTTCGCTCTAAAAAATCCGTCATTTAAAACTATGATTTTCCATTGTAGTGCACTAAAGAAAGACTTCATCTTTCTAAAGCCGTAATTTTCTGCAAATAATCTGCTCACATCGTTACGATATCGCCCTTGAAATAACCCTAAAACATGAAGTTTTCGACGCAAATCGCATATGCCCTTTTAATCTCTAGATCCTTAATATTGCTGACAGGAGTTATTGGAATATTCAAAAGCTTGTTAAATTGTATAGAATAAGGCTAGGTTAAAGAATATAAGAGCAAACAAAACACTTCGTAACATTGAGATTTAATTTGTGTACCGACAATTTAATATGTCGAAATTTAAATTTAGTTAGATACCATTACTAAGTGTCTCATTGGTGATAAGTTCCGATCTCCAAGTTCCGAAATTTCTCGAATAATATTTGATATTAGCGATATTATTCAATCGGAAGTTTAAAAATAAATTGAAAAATACTCGATACCTAACAATTTCGATACTTTCGTTTTGATACTTTTCTCGGTATCGATAAATCTGATACGATACTGGTTTCGAGTAAAGTATCGATACTTTTAAAATTTTGTGGAACACGACGAAGAAGAAACACCTAAATAAGCAACCAACTAGACTAGAAGTTAGAAACTAGAATACAAAATAAAATCATCAGAATTTTCTGCCGATTTTACATTTCTGAACTGGCAACCCTTTCAGTCTGTTTATGTTTTATGGAGATTTCCCTCAAACTTCGGAGGAATACTCTTTAGCTACATTCGTACGAGACATTTTTGGGGAACCATCATACATATCATATATAAGCAAAAGATCGTACTATTTTCCCATTATTTAGTATTGTATTCCTAGTAAAAATGTTATGCCCTAGAGACAAATACTCGTCATAATTCACGCATATGTCCTCCTCGAGCCTCGAGGCTATTTTAACTCATGAGAACTCAAGCGATATAAATGCTTTAGAACTTTGTGAGAAGCTGTTAGTCCTTTGTATGTTTTCAAATAGTAATTTATCTCCTCAAAATATTTTGAAATTTGTACATTATTGTAAAGGGTCATCATACATAGACAAGATTAGCCCGAGACAGGTAAAAATAGCACAAGGGAAAAGAGGCCCATACGCGGCAGTGAGTCGCAATAGTTTGATGATGATGATAAAGTTGAAAGGTACATGACTATTTCAATAAAAAGATATATCAATGCCATTCAGTAGTTTCTGTGAAATTCTTCAAAAGACATACATTGTATATTTACTAACATAAAAACACTCATCAACTTTCGTATAGATACTTCTTCAGAAGGCCCGATATACTGACGTGAATATTATAGGTAGGTATAATCCCAACAATATCGAGTACATATTTTATGTAGATACTTGTATATTTAACATTCCCCAACATAACTAGCTCATGACATATGGTTTTGTGTATGTAAAGGGCGGCGAAAATTATCTTTGCCCGGAGCGGCTAAATAGCTAGATCGGGCCCTGCTCGTTTCCAATAAAAAAGGGCCTCCGGTTCTCTCCACTAACCATACAAAACACAGCAGGCACTGAGCTGCTATTTTACGTTGGTAGCGGCTATTCTGTGAGAGCGTGGCTCTACCACGTAAAAATATATATACTTCTTTAAAAATTATATATCTTTTAGTTACCTATATTGTATGATGATAATGTCTACTCGAAAGATATAGACCACGATAACAACTTTCAAAGTTTTAAAGATATCGGTTGTGAGAGAATTTACAGGGGCACAAATGTGCATACAAACACAGAGGCGTTTACAGACGCGTTTGTAGTCAGTAATAAGATAGGGCACAAGAAAGGATAACAAAGATCAAGAGGAATATCATCAGCATAATATCAAACATATAAGTATGTGGCGGCGCTGTCGTCTCGCCGCAAGCGAAACACACCGAAGCCTAAATCACGCTATCAAAATTCCGAATCATAAACAGTATATATAGAACATCTCCGAACTATCACACGGAGTGTTGGCCGCTCCCCGGGCAGAACACCTTGCCCGGCGGGAGATCTCCCCTTTTCCTTCCACGGCCATAGTGGTGACCACCCGACGTGATCTGAACACGCAACCAACAACCTTCAGAAATTTCAAGCTTCATCATCGTCATAGACTACCCCACCCATTCGCTCCAGAGCAGATCTCGTATGCAGTCTTCTTATCCTGCAAGCTATCAAGCTTCACAAGGTTCATCGCAGCACTGGAATAATAATGCTTCCTGTTCCTTGCAGCTACTCTCTGCGCCACAGTGTTCGGCACGGCTCTGAGCCTTACTGTTCGCCTCTGCTTCACGGCACTCTCGCAGATTACTTGCCTTCTTCTCGACTCACCGCAGACTACAAGGCAATCTCCTGTTACTTGCACATTCGTCGAAAACGAGGCTGCACTATCGACCTCCGGTCTGAGCAGGCGGGTGATGTAGCGGCGCTGTCGTCTCGCCGCAAGCGAAACTCACCGAAGCCTAAATCACGCTATCAAAATTCCGAATCATAAACAGTATAGATCATCTCCGAACTATCATACGGAGTGTTGGCCGCTTCCTGGGCAGAACACCTTGCCCGGCGGGAGATCTCCCCTTTTCCTTCCACGGCCACAAGTACTTTTATTATATGTCTAAGGTTGAGCGTAACAAACTTTTGATTACGAAAAACTCTTAATTATATAGAAGTTATAATGCGTGGATGTATAGACATGAGTTTAATCGTTAAGAAAAGTTTTTTACGTAAAACAAAAAAATCTATATAAAATGTATTCAAGGCAAAGCCTTGAGAAGACGCAACAAAGCGTTTACTGTAAGTATTTAATTACGAGAACAATTTAATATTTTTATCTTTATGATGCCTTGTTTTAATATGTGTTATATCTATTTATGTTTATTATATTTAGTTAATTAAGTCACCTGCCACTAATTTCTCACCACAGCGTGGGTTGACTGGCAGAGAATGATAACTGGCATTAAGTCCGCCCGTTGTAACCTTTAAGGTTAAGAGCAATAAAGTTTTTAAACAAATAAATAAATAAGAATAAACGCCATTGACGGTTCCTTATTATTCGTACACTGACCGACGATTATCAGCGGAAGTAGAACTTTAAACGTGCATTTGTTTTCCTTTTCTGCAGTCTGTCTGTAAGGTCAAGTGAACATTCCGGTTCATAAACAGGGTCAAATAACTAGAACTCTTAAACATTATATAAGATGACGTCATTACTTTATAGATACCTACCTGTGTTTAATTAATGTATTTTATTAACGACATACAAACTGACAGTCAAAAGAACAAACGCCGGCCGATACGTAAGGATTTCGACGTAATGCTTCGTCTTTTGCTTTGACAATAACCCGGTTATTCTTCTATCTCCGATAACGTTTTTTGAAAGTAGATGCTTTGGATTATTAACACCTATATACTTATGTATTTATTTATAAATGTATATAAAAAGAGTTTTTCTTCGTATGTATAGCTTGAGGAACCGACAACCAATGGAGAAGGTTCTCGAGTGCCAACCTCGTACCGACACAGTGACAACCTGGTAAAAGCTGCAGACGGTTCAGGAACGTGCTTTGTAGCATTCCTGGGGAGGGCAATATTCAGCAGTGGACTTGTGATTCTGGATATCATATGTCTGGATTAGTCCTAACATGTCAGGACTATTGGGTCCTTATCAGGATTGCGGTTGGATTTAGGAAATGTCAGGTTTGTCGAGTTTTCAACAAAATACAGTAGCTTTTTGCGTGGGAGGTGAGGAATCTGCAACGTGAATTTAGATTACACAAAACCAATAATTTATTATCCTTAGGTTTTATCCCACGCTTGTTAATGCTTGCACCATAATGTCAAGATTTTTTCAATGGAGATAAGGTTATTTGTCAAACCTTTTCAATTTTCCATCTGGTAACCCTACTTATTACGGGCTGTCATTAGTGCATACCCGTGGCTAGCTTATAAAGTTCACGGCTTGCTGTTTTTGCTGTTGGAGTTTTGTTTGCCCTGTATCGTAGAGGTGTGTAACGTAAATAAAATTGTACATGAACAATCATCCAGACCCGCAAGCCCACAACAATTATTTGTAGGCCGTGCACACTTGACACGAACGGCAACCTTCATTTGACAAAACCTATAATAAAATTTTAAAGAAACATTTCTGAATCAAACAAGTACAAAGCCCTGGTTTCAGTTGCTACATAAAGCAAATCTGTCAACGAACTTATGAAGAAACTAGTTGCACTCACCCCAGTTTTATCATCGCGCAGGCGAAGGCCGTCAATGGCCACGTGAACCTGAATCCTCTGTTTGTGCTCGCCTGCTGCGCGGATGGCCATCTTGAGGTCGGCGAGAGCCTCTTGGCACATCCTATCACCGCGGGCTTCTGGCACTTCGAGAACGCCAATTAGCTTCGCTCGGAAAGAGACGCCCTCGCCGAGGAAGCGGCCGGGTTCGTTCTTGTCTGCACCAAAAGAATTACTGTTTTAAATTGGCTTGGCTTTGTTGTGTGGAATTGACAGAAACTGTCAAGATTTTGAGCTGATTTCAAAGGTTCTCAAAATAGCTGCATATTTTGCATGTACGAGGTATCTTCGCCATTGTGAACCGATTTTAATAATTTGTTGTTTTTTTTATACATGGGCTTTAACCTTAAGGGTAGTGCCAGAGAAATTTCCACCTCTCAGACATTGTAATTAGTACCTTGAGTTTGTGAAATTGCATAGATTCCGAAGTAGAGCTTTTTCTTCTATATACGTTTTTCTACGTGGTAGAGCCAAGCTGCAGTTATATTATGGTTGTAGCGCGAATGGGTCGGCTCGACCGGGGAAGGACCACGCTCTCACAGAATACCAGCGTTAAATAGCAGCTTAATGCTGCTGTGTTTCGTATGGTGAGTGTAGAGAACCGGAGACCCGTTTTACTGAAATCGAGGCGATTTAAATGGCCCACAGCATCTACTTACCATCAGGCGGACTGTGTGCTCGTTTTTCAACCTTATTTTATATAAAAAAACACAAGCAGCGACTTTATAAGCTATTAAATTATGTGTCTTTTTTAAAGTTATTTAAAGGCTTTTTATTAGGTTGAATTTTGTAGAAGTTGAGTAGATAAAAAATTACAAAATTAATCACAATCACAAGCATCACTGTAATTTTCTTTTTGCATTATTTATTTAACAATACAATATTCCAATGAAGAGCTCCACAAAAAGACAGAAAATTTAGATTAGAATTTTTATTATTTTTATTTTTGTTTAATTGACCGTGTAAGAGTACGAATATCCACCACCCTACTACTATAACAGTCACGTGGGTGTCGTATGAGGCGACAGAGGGAAACAAATTACAAGATGCGCAGCAGTGTCTTTCTGATAACACATTTCTAAAAATAAGAAACTGCAATGGCTAAGCCACTTGCCAAGCGTGGCAGCTATGGCAAGTATCCTGATATGAGGTAATTTATGGAAGCGTATGTTCATCAATGGACTTTAGACTGGTAGACTGTAACGGTAAAGGTGAACGTAAGTCTGCTCTTTAAAACGTAAACTACAACAATATAAGTACTAAATAGCCATAGTGCGTTAACGAACGATATGTTTAAATAATAAGCAGAGACTAAGCCCAAATAGACATAATGGTTCAAATGTTAAAAAATGAAATGATGAAATGAGATTATAAATCTGGCACTATGGTACAATACCTTTGCGTTTGTTTAGGAGGCACTTGGATTCCACTTTTTTAGGTGTCATTTTTTTTTCGAAAACGATTATACTTGTGGGCAAACGTAATGGCAGTATGGAGTGCAAAATAAAAGTGAGTACGATTTGTCCTATTTTAGTCCCTGTTTACGGTGCATCATTGCTACTTTAATTGAATTTCCTGTTTATAAATTTAGTATCTCCTGAGCCGGGGTAACGATCTGTTACATTACATTATGACCTTTTGTTTTAGAGAGACCATCACATATATTCTTAAATATTAGAGAGACGCGATCAAATAAATAGAAATCGAGTACAAATACACTATTTGCCACAATAATTGATTATACTAGGGACGATGCAGATGCAAAGGTAAAACCTTTTGCTAGCATCATAAACGGAGCGGAGTAAGTCTAAAGTCATAACTATCTTTATTTCAACAAAAGATTCAATGAAATGGTGTGACATTGCGCAGATGTAAATTAGCGAATTGACTAGAATGTAAAAGAAAACAAAAATTCAAATTCAGATTTTTATTGTTTACAAACCTTGTCTGCGTTAAGCTACAAATATTGCCGAAAAAATTATGTAAATTGGTCTACGGGTTACGGAGGAGACAGATTTCAAAGAATCGTTTTCTGGCGCCGCTTCGCTCCAATTATTTGCGTCAAATAATTAAATTAATTAATAATTAATTAATTTAAATTATATATATATATATATATATATATATATATATATATATATATATATATATATATATATAAAACATACGTTTGTATAGTTATGACTAGACTTTTACTCTGCTCGGTTTATGATGCTAGCAAAAACCTTTGCATCTGCATCGGCCCTAGTATATAAGTTATGAATAATTAATACCATTTCATTTCTTATTTTAATATCGAAATGAGTATGTTCGCAGTAGAAGCGGAGTAACCGACATAGCCCTACGGATCAGTAAACTAAAGGGGCAATGGGCCGACCATATATCTCGAAGACCCAACAACCAATGAGTATGAATGGTTCTCAAGTGACCGTCTCGAAAAGAGTACAGGTAAGGTAATTGCAGGACGGTCCTCCAAAGGTTGAAGTGAGAACATGCAGGAAGTCAGTAAAAGCAGGTAGTTTCGAATCGTGTTTTGAGTATCCCTTAGGGGGGAGGGCTACGTTAGGCGGTGAGCTTATTGTTATGATGACAATTTCATCCAATAACGATTATTTAAAACACTTTCACAAAAATTGTAGTGGCTATTAACAGTTTCATTGACATAGTTTTCATTGCGTATTACTATTTACTATTAAATAGGCACTGCTCTTTAACCTTCCACCTTTAAATTATTGTTTTCAAAATTTGAGGAAGGCATCCCTAATTTACGTACACCGATTTCTATTTAAATAATTCTGATTTAGGTAATACGTGTTTAATAAAAATATTGTTTAGCAAAAAATCTTCAAAGTCATTATTTCACGTGTGTATTTACAAATTTTTGCATACACACATAAGTGTGTATGCAAAAATTTTAAAAATGCTGACCTCCAAATCTGAAAATACATATGCATATTATGCACCTTAGTCGATGAACACACGCCTTACACACGCATTGGCATTTCTCTCCTTTTTAAATTCTTCCAAAAATTGTAAGCCTGTGGCCAGAACACATGTGTAGATTGATAATTTAATTTCTACAAAATATTAGCCGACTTCAAAAAAATGAAGTTCTCATTCTCAATTCGACTGTTTATTTTTTGTACGTATGTTACGCGATACCTTCCCTCCGCAAATAATAAATAGATTTTGATGATTTTTTTACTAAATAGGTTATACTTCAGATGTGATCACAAATATATATATATATATATATATATATATATATATATATATATATATATATATATATAAAATTTACAAAAGAAAATTTAAATGAACTATTTAGACGACATCCTAGAGGATGTCAAGGCAATTGTGATATCCCACAGTTCACTCAAAAGGATTAACAGCGAAGTCGGTGGTAAGATATACACTAGTATAAAAGATTTAAGGCGCCGACTTTTAGAGTTATTACGTGAAAATTATTTTATACTTATTAGTCCTTCTAAGCCGGCTTTTACTCGTCATAAAACATTTAATGTTTCTCGATACGATTATTAAATATTCCATCTCAACTGATATGCGAAATTAACGAGCAAAATTATGATAAGGAGCAGAGTTTATTTATTTTGTATTAAATGAAAAGATAGGACGATAAGCAGAGATGCAGTTATGATAAAATTCTTTAAATAAAAATAACTTGTGAACATTTTGTCGCAATACTAATTTCGTTTCGTAATTCTGTTACACACAATTTGTCGGTGAGCAGATGAATGATGAAAGAATTTAGATAGTACTTGTGCACGCATGTTATAAAATGCACATAATAAAGCACCTTTTATGTACATAACTACATATATACAAAAGAAACTTCGTGCAGCAGTACAATGCTAGTGATATATAAAGTGCATACAGAAGCAAGAGGCACTACGTGAACGCTATGTACTCACCAAACTGCCGCAATAGATGCTGGAAATGACACACCTGCATTTTTCGCTGTACAAACCGAATTAATTAGTTCCCCCGTCGCACCACCGCACCACTGCTTCGGGCCCACAACACACCCTCTGTCCAAAATATGGGTTCACTAATTACGATATGGGACTAGCACGAGCACTTTACAGCACGGGTGGACAGCATGACATCGCCGATTTTGTTACGAATGAACGTTACAGCCGGCCGGAACCATGCACATCAAACACAGAAATATTTATACAAATTAAACAGAAAAAGAGAATTCAAAAGCAAGGATGCATAAGTGGTTGAAATTTTTAAAAACATTTAGCGCTATCTAAAAAAAACCGCATGACGCAGTAAATATCAAAATCAAATATAGAAAAATATATTCGAATGAAAAAGCGCAACGAGCTACGAACGACGTGAACTCACATTTGCAAGGGCTGGTTTTCTTACGAAGGGTTTGCATTGGAAAGTCAGTCGGTAACTTGTGATTGAACATCGGAAACTCGGCGCCTTATCGACGCTTCAATATCACTGAAATACAAAATATAGGCATACACTGCACATGGCTGAGCTGCACATCACAGGCACTGTCGGCTAGAAAATTCAACGAAACATTCGATCTCCGCTACGACATTTATTGATTTACGCGGCGACGTTCCTGCAAGCCTTAAAAATGTTTCATCGTCGCGACGCGATCGTTTACATTTCGTTTAGAAGAAATCGTTTAACACTAACACAGAGGTGAACGTTAAGTGTAATTCGCGAATTATACATTACATTTATAATTGGTTCGATCGTCAAAGGCGGCGCGCGGCTGGCACATGGGAAGAGTACTCACACACACTAACGCGCGCATCGCCCAATCTGTGAGTGGGGTACGCGCACACACGCGCACTACGAACCCTTAATCGATATTCGCCCTCAATCTCTGGTTTATGCATTTTTTACATTCATTACACAAACATTTTTAATATTACAGATATGGTTGTTAATTGATAAATAAAACAACAGTCGGCAAATTAATAGAGATTTAACACTAACATTACAGTAATTAAATATATATCGAAAAATATTGCAAATTATATATTAAATATATGGATCATAAATAATATTTTTTAAATAATTAATTAAATTTAGAGGAAATGTACTAATGTAAAAAAAGTTGAAAATATTATTGAAAAAAATTTAAGCATATTCTTTACATATAAATATGACTGTGAAATGAATAAAAATAATAATTTGTATATTGGTTATGAGGTTCCATTAAGCACTTTCAAGAGTTTAGCTTCTTTATTCTACCATTAAATACTATCTGCTGCACATATGCTTTTCCCATAATTTCCACGCTTAGCAAACTGATGAACATTTGCAGTACTAGACATTTAGTAGGCTTTAGCATTAGCTTATCGAAACATATTGCATTACACTTTATACATTTATGATATATAAAATCTGGTATAAATAAAATTATAATGTATCATCATCATTATCATTATACTGGATGACCTTTTTTAGCACCTGGAAAAAAATTGGGTGTAACATGTGAACGGAGTAGAAGCCTTTGGCACGGATATATTACCAAAAATACAAACAAAAATTTTGAATCAAATAAATAAATTAGTTAAAATCTATCAAAGTTCAGATCCACCCTACTTTACGAACGGCAATAAAACAATAAAGTTAGTAGACAACATTGACCTCGTCACTTCGCAGGGTCACAGGCTAGGGTACTCTTCTTGGTAAACATTTTTTAATGAACAAACTCAGAGTCCTCGTGATGGTAAGAGGCTTCTATAGTCTATGGACACCTGCAGCCGACTTCAAACAAAGAAGGCTATGGATGCGTTGTCAGTTTTCACCTCTTCACCTCTGAGGACTAAGATGGAGTGCCTCAAAGCCTGTAACTATACTGGATCTTTATAACCTTCAGACTTGAAAACAGAAGTGCATGCACTGTTGTTAGTAGTGGTAGAAGTAGGCAAGATGGGGGTGGCTACCCAGACGGACTCAAAAGTGGAATAGGAGTCCTACCTCCTAGATTAGGCAGACCAGACAGGCTAGACACTACATAATTAGTATTAATTGGATATTGTTGTAAATTCACGCAGTGGACATAAGTCCATTGCATGAATTTACAATACATACTATATCCAGACATAGATACATGTATTGAAAATATTAGGATGATCATAAGCCGAGTTTGAACATAATAAGGATAATTCGAACTGTGGTAGCTCAGATGGTTAGTGCTCTCTGTAAATTTCACAATACGCGAGCAAACCGGGTTCGATCCCCGCCGGCACTAATGAAATTGTTAATTGCAATTTTAAGTGCTGATTTATCACATGCTCAGCAGTGAAGGAAAACATTGTGAGGAAGCCTGCATGTCTGAGAAATAAGAAAAAAACTATTTTGAAGACATGTGAAGTTCGCCAACACGCATTGGGGCAGCGCGGCGGACTATTTCTTGTCCTAAAACCCTCGACAATTCCACTGGACGTCAGTCCCACTTGACCATGAGTGCTGCAAAGCTCCCAGAATGTAAAAATAAAGTTTTAAAAAAATAAAATCTGTAACAGTAGTTTTATTCAATGTGTAGTCTTCCCATAAATATAAGAAAAAATTATAGAAACTAATTGACATTAGAAGTATTTTTGAAACATGAAACAAGGTATGAAAACAAAAATACTGTAAAATATTTTTGGGTATTTAAAATAAAAAGTTATATAAACATCTGACTAATGGCACCTCTGATAGACAGTGTCCACTCAAGGCAGGTGATTCACAAGCAAAACATTAGGAAAGTAAACCTGAAGAAAATTAATAAGGAAAATTTAACTTTAAAAATTGTTTTGATATGCCTAAATCTGATATCCATCCAGATACTGGATACTAATAAGATGCTTGATTACAATTAACGTATTTCAAGTACAAATCCAAAATTACTTTATACTAGCAAAAATTATAAGTTTGCATCTTATACAATACAAGACAAAACCACTTTAATTTTTTTTTTTTTTTTTGTAAATGAGAATTACAAGTAAAATAATAACTATTTCATAAAACAACCACCTCATTACTTATATATTGACTTAAAATAAACTCGATAACATAAAAAGACTGACTGATGAAGAATAATGACATTGATTTTGAAGTAATATAATTCTTAGAGTATTACAATTGTAACAAAACAAGGCATTATAATTTAAGTGTCCCTACATAATAACATTACAGTTTATTTCTATTATAATGTGAAATATTTATGTGAATTTATTAACCGAAGTTCTTTAATTAAACCTTTTAAAAATATAAACATACACTCACACTTGTCGACCAGAACCCAGAAGTGGGCAGAGATTACAGACTTCTATTTAGCACAATTTATTGGAGTAACAAAGAATAATAAAATGAACGATTATGAAACAACAATTTCAAATCCCACCTGTTTTAGTATCCATAACAATCCATTCTTTATTTTAACCAATCATTTTTATTAGCTATTCTTCCAATACCTCAAGATTCAGTACTAATGAGGCTAGTTAGTCTAATTTAAGTATAAGCATCAATTCTACTTTTTGGAAGCTTGAAAATCACACATTGGATTTTCTAATTTAACTTCAAATTTAAAAGAATTTCGCGGATAATAGTACGTAGTGGCTAAATAATACAAAGCTGCAATCTGCCTTCAATAATTTATATGCAGTTACTCAGTAAATCACTATTTACATAATTTGTTAAATTCGTCGAAAAGCATGATTCTTGAAGTAATTCATTGTGTAAAACAGTGTAAAATTTTATTTAAAATCCTAAGTCCGATCCGTCCGAACACACTTGATGACACTTTAGTGATGGGCTGATGATGGGTAGGAATGCAACGATATATCGGAAAACAGATAAATATCGATAAATCGACACCTAAATATATCGATAGTTGTCCATATCGGTGATATACCGATATCGATAATTCAATATCGACAAAAACGCGATGTATCGAACAAGATATATCGAAAAAAAATATTGAAAACCAGCACAAATTAAAATATTCACAAAATCAGGTAAAATGCTATTACTTACAATGGCTTTATGAGTCATCTACCGATTGTAGCAACAAGTGTTCCATCAGAACGTCTTATTTCGAAGGCAGGAGCTACTATAACCCAGAGCCAAAACTGGCTACATGGAAGCAGAACTTTCTAAGTTATTATTTTTAAATTCGATAGCTGGTACATAATACTGGAATTATTTTTTTAAATTATATATTAAAATAATAAATTTTAAAAATAAAACCTTTAAAAAACAAAAAACGATGAAATATCGATATATCGGCGTACTTGACCGATATATCGAAATATAAGTATCAACTTGATTCAATATATATCGTTATCGATATATCGATATTTTTAAAAACTTTGCATCGCTACTGATGGGTCAACTCGATAATTCGAGTTTGGGGTCCGGCTGACGGTAATTGAACGAAAAACCTTTTGACGTTTCACATTAATCATTCCGCAATATCTTCTCGCAAGCGTACTCACACGATTAAAAATAACCTTTTTCGTAAATCTGAAGAATTATGAGGTTATCTATATTTCATTACAACGTGTATAGTTTTCTATCACTAATTTAAATTCGAATCTTGCTGACAAAGCAAAATATTAAAAAATAACTAGTATCAATTTTTTTTTCTTGACGCCGCTTCAAAGATATGTTGTTATGTATCTTACCGTAGTGTTTGGATGATTAAAATTCATTGTTATGCGATAATCGGCAAAAATATTCAAATAATCGAATCATTAATTTATTTTAATGTATTATTGGTTTAGTTAAATTTATATTTTTTAAATTCCTTAAATTACGAGAATCATGAAAAAAAAAGTAAAAGAAAAAGTTTTTTTTTACTTTGTCAACATAAATTTGTGTAGGCAAAAACACTCATTTACAACGCCGCACTAAAAAAACCCACTACGTAATTTCAATCTCCCGCTATTTCGGGATGTTACTGTGCGTAATTTTGTGATTTTGTGTTTGTATTCCTATTTTGTGACTCGGCTTAAACTTTTTGGACTGTTTCTTCTATATTCGTTGAAGGATGTGCCCATGTCACAAAGTATCATTGAGCAATTGTGGTAGGAAAAACAAAAAAATTGATTATGGACGACTTTTAAAGAGATATTAATTTTGACTGCATTATTAAAAATCAAATAATAATTAATCTAAACTACGACAGCTCAACTAGTTGTACTAAAAGCGATTGAATAAATTTATTTTTGGTCCAGTTTCAATCTTAAATTTTTATAACTTTTCCTCTAGAAATAACCAGTTACAACAAATACGAAGAAACTGATAAATCTTGTGTTTTAAATTATCCGTTATTAATTTATTTTTGTATTATTCAAACCAAACTGTAAATAATTACTAATTCTAAATATTCTACATATATCGTTTTTTTTTAAGAATCGAATATTGTACGTTCCCATTTTTTTAGATGGCATGCTT